ACTCCGTGTGAGCATGTTGGTTGCGAGTGTGGATGTTGAGAGGTGGGTCAAGTGTGCACCGCGAACTTTCCGATGATGTTGCACAGGCACGGTCTTGGCGGTTGTGGGGAAGTGCCGCACTGCCTGTCAACATAATAAGACACCCGACCTTTTTTGTTGCGTAGACGTACACCAACAATCTCTCTTGTCTACAGACAGACTTACGGAGTTTCGTCTGGTGCGAACGGCCCAGACGTCATTTTCATGCCACCAGACCTCGCTGACACATTGTCTTCCCTATTGCATTCAGTGAAAAGCAACACCGGCCATTTATTCATTCTCGACCATGACTACATGTTGTTCTTCTAATTTCTTCATCCTTCATTAAACTGCTATTATGATATACTAAAGTCTAGACAGTATGTCTTTGAAACGTCTAAATGTGCACATGTCCGCGATTACTACACCTCGTCGAACAGCCAAATGGAGAAAAACAAGACATTCATGTCATTACACCGCCCCATTCCTGTACGGCTCACCTTGTTTTCCCTACACCCCAAGTTGAAGAAGAGTTAGTTACAACTGACCATGCCTCCTCTCCCACTCAACAACGGCAGGAGCAAGAGGGCGCGAGAACAAACTCGAGTAATCAGTTCCGATGATATCCTTGCTACCTCCAATGTTCCTAATCTTGAACTCACGGACAAACGCAACAAGAATAGTCTGGAGCTGGAGGTAGGCAAACTGCTCGCCGATACAGCGATGCCTTCCGGCGCCGAAGGGGAGATATGGCGATTTAGTGCCCTTGGACACAACACCCCAGCCATAATCAATCTTCTCGTCGTCGTCATCCTCATCAGCGTTTTGGCTGTCCTGCTCGGCGTCCCATCGGTGTGGGTCCCAGACAGAGGGGTTGACAAAGTGAGTGTCGAGTTGAGCAGAGAAGCCAGGCGAAGACATGAGATGATGGGAAGTAGGGATAACGTAGTTTGTTCCATCGGCGACAAGAGGCTGCTTGACTTTGCGCATAATCGAATGGATCGGAGCGTGAAGACGAAGGGTTTCCTTGACCACTTGGGCGTGGAGAGGCAGCTTGTCGAGATCCTCATACGTCAGAGTAGGCAGATCCTCACCCATGGCCGCCTTTTGCTTTGCAAGAAGCTCCTCTACAATCTCGGGATTCTGTGCCAAGCGGAGCAGGATCCAGGAAATGGTCGAAGAGGATGAGTGTTGACCAGCCATGAGTAGAGCAATCATGATTCCAGCAATCTCGTGTTCAGGAACCTGTGTGCCGTCCTTGTACTTGCAGTCCATCAGATGCCAAATCATGTCGTGAGAATCCTTCTTGACGTTGCCTGATCTCCGCTTGCGAACCAGCTCAGAGTAAAGTTGAATCATGGTCTCGCGTGCATTGTCACGGGCACGGTTATGAGGGAGCGGGGCCCAGGAAAGCATAAAGTTGATGGGCGAGAAGCCCATGTCGAGGTCGTGGTACAGTTCGGCAAACTTGGAGTCGAACGAGCGGCGGATTTCCTCGCCCTGGAGCGATCGAGAGGCGGTGTAGATGGTGAGTTCAGCCATGACCTTGGGAACGTTGAAAGTGCCCTTTTGTCCCTTGAAAGCCTTGTGGCGCTTGAAGAAGTCTTCGCATTCTTGTGTGATGAGGGTTACGTAGGAACGGAGAGCCTCTTGCGTCAGGCCAAACTTGACAAACTATCTGGTGTAAGTAGGTCGTAGGAAACGGGGGCAAGACGCGACGCACCTTCTTTTGCTCCATGAGCTTCGAGTTGGGACAGTCATAGACGACATCCTTGCCGAACACGGGGGTCGTGAGGGGAGAGTAGATCTCCTCGGCATTGACGTCCTTGATCTTTCCGTTGAGGATAAAGTTGTTGCCAGTAGTGTCGAGGCAGACCGTCATCTTGCGACCAAGGAGGATAAAGGTGAAGACGGGGCCATACTTCTTGTAGTTGGCGAAGAAGAAGGAATACGGATCCATGCCATACCAGACGGTGTTGCCGATAATGGGCACCCAGTGGAAGACGAGAGGCGGCTCATTGGGGTTCTTGAATAGGAACTGCTTGAGGACATTGAGGACAATGGCGAGGAGGATAAAGGAGGCAAAGCCGGCAGCGACAACGACGGGCGTGGACGAGTTTGAAGTGAAGTCGCCGAGCGGGCCGGCAATGGTGGCAAAGACACCCATTGTGCACAGCAAGAAGCAACGAGAGAAGCAAAGGGTGGGTGAAGAGACAATGTCGACGGGGGCGGGCTCAATAAATTTCCTAGACACTGGGGATGGCGCAGGGGCACGTCGGCCCAATCGCACGGCCGACTGCCTCTGTCGTACAGAGCGGTCTGTTAGTGGACGTAGTGGACCTTGCCTTCTTGGCAGGGACCGGCTTCTGGAGCGTAGCGGGCCGGCAGCGACAACATGGCACCATTGACAGGCCAGCGTCGTGTCATTGGCCCGCCCTGCATCCACATCACCTCACTACTTACACTCCTTACCACATATCATCCTCACGAGAAAGACTCTGGAGAGTTTCTGCCATGTATCTGTTACGCTATGCTTGGACCATGTCGGTCCCACTGTTGTACATGCCCGTCTCGACTCTTGTGCCTGTGCCCATCCATAACGCCCAGGTACGCCCAACACTCTGCGAATCAGAAAGCACCATCCATCTATTGCTACGCCTCGGCCTCTTTGCTCTCGCCAGACAGAAGGCTCTGGTCCGTTGGATAGCGAGATCCGTCGTCTTCTTCAGAGTACAGAGTCTGGTCGCCCTTGCCGCCCATTTCTACAAACTCTTCAGGGTGCCGCTGCGCAGCCGGCTGTTCCTCCGCAACTGCATGTTGCTTGCCCTTGGCCGTTTTGCCGTTGCTCTCTACCCCATTCTTCTCGTATACCTTGACCGCATCCTGCCCTTCGGGGCCTTGAATGACGCGCGTTACCTTGACATCGTTGATGCTGCTCAGCATGGTGCGCTCCCGTCGTAGCTTACGCTTTGAAAAGTCTAGTTTTGAAATTGCGCCCGTCAGGCCGTCAGTACTGTCGTTAACATTGATCTTGCCCTGCGTAATCCATGGATGCTCCAAACACTCGTCGACGGTGATGCGTTGCTCCACGTCGACGGTGAGCATGCGGTCGATGAGATCTAGTGCTGGGTCGCCTACAGAGTCCCAGTATGGCGATGGATAGTCAAACCGACCCATCTTGATCTGCTGAGACAATGTGTACGGGTTGTCGGCGCTGTATAGCTCGTCTGAGAAGGGAGGGAAACCGCATAGGCATATGTACAAGACGACTCCCAATGACCATACGTCGACAGCACGTGTGTACCGGCGATGATTTGAGTTTTCTAGAATTTCAGGCGCAACATCTGTCATTGTTAGCATCAGCCTGATGGTAGGCAACCCAGAGCAACATACATGATGGAGTACCACACCTGCCTGCGTTAGCGACCAACTCGGATACGACTTGAGTCAACTTACAGCGTAGTCGTGAACGACTCTTCACCAATGATTTTGGCAAGACCAAAGTCAGCCAGTTTGACCGATAGCTCCTTGTCGGTGAGCAGGATATTCTCAGGCTTGATGTCTCGATGTACAATGTTGCGTTCATGCTAGAGTGTGTCAGAATAGGATAAGGTGCGAGAGTGCCATGGCTTACCAGGTACTTAACCGCCTGAAACAATTGCACAAAGACCTTGCGAGCCTCGTCCTCGGTCAACTTTTGCTTCATCACGATCCAGTTGAATAATTCGCCCTCTGTCGCCAGCTCAAGAACAAGGTAGACTCCATCGTCTTCATCAAATGTGTCCTTGAGACAAAGAAGCGCTGGGTGGCTAACGCTCATGAGCACGGCAATCTCCTGCTGCAAGCCCTCCACTTTTGACTTTTCTCCCGGACCGCTACGCTTCTCAAACTTCTTGACTGCATGCCGTATGCCTGTCGACTTTTCCGCGCAAAGGTAGACGGATGCAAAATGGCCCTTGCCCAGTTGCTCCTGTATGGTGTACTGCTGTCGGAATCGGTGCGTGTTGCGCTTGAGCGGGTATCTGAAGATGTAGCGGGCTTCGTCGAGGATGGCAATTTCGTCACCCTCATGCAGTTCGCGTCGCTTGTTCCGCCCGACAAACGTGTCGTTGACAAAGGTTCCATTGCCCGACAAGTCCTCGAGTACCGCAACGACGTCGCCCCCCTTTTTCTCTGTGAACAATAGGCAGTGACGGTTGGAAACGGTTGGTGAGTTTAGCACCTTGTCTTGGGCATGTCAGAGGAAGCTTGCTACGCATTGCACCATGGCTAGACTTACCGCACTCTCGGTGACGGCCTATGAGATATCCGCCCGCGGGAACACCACGCTCTTGCTTGTCTTTCTCATAATGCTCTTCCTGGCCCTTGTACTCGCCCTTGCTCACGTGCTCCTTGCCATTAGTCTGTCCGACGATTGTGCTGGGAACTGGACAGGCCTGTCTCCGGCGCAAAACCATTACATCGTCAGCACTGCCGTCCATGGGCACCAGATAACCCCACACCTCTTCGCCCTCCTCATCCTCGACTGCATATGTCCGGTTTTCGGGCGGGTAGACGAATTGCGAAAAGGGCTGGGTATCCGAGGGCGGCGGCGACGAAAGGCCACCGCGTGCAGCCTGGCTGGGACCACGGGCAGAAGGGGGGCTCTGGGTGCCTTCCTTGCGATCCTGCGAAGGGTCACCAGTGGATTCCTTGTTGGTGACGGGCGAAGGCAGAGGGCCTTGCTTCAGACGACTAGCGTTTGCAGGAGGCGAAAGGCGCGAGTGGCGGGTCCTCTTGGGCTCGACTTGCTCGCCTTGAGACAGCTGTCGCGATTGCAGTGTTAGCAATGCGCCCGTGGCCAATGCATCATCTGGAGCAATGGGGACATACGCGACCTCGCTTGAGCTGGCTTTTCTCTGTTTGCGCCGGCATCCTGACCAAGACGGAGGGTGAGTGAGGTGAGCGGGTGGGTCGAGGCAGCGACGGTCAATGCAGGCGGCTCAGACGATCGCGTCTAGGATGGCATCGTGGAGCAGATGGTTTGTATGGTGGAAGCGAGTAGGATGGCGGAGAGTTGGGGTTACTAGGCTACACTGAGGCCGACTAGGCTCGACTGTTCGTTTGCATATGCTCGCCAGGTCTCGCTCCAGGCAGCCGAGCCCTGGCTAGCATGTCTGCACGCGACAGGGGGGCTCGCCTCACTGGCCCGGCCAGCTTCCCCCTCCATACTACTTACTTACGCTTGTCACTACACTACACTACATACTACTATACGTGCACATCGCTGCCGTCGCCAGTCAGTTGCATCACATCATGCCAGCGGCCTTTCCCCGCCTTGGCGAAGCAGAGTTTGAGCAGGCCTGTGTCCGTCTGCTGCAACGCTTCCAGTGCGTGCGCACCATGCAGACCGAGTGGCTGTCTGCGGAGAAGATGCACCGACATGGGACCGTTGTGCTGCGAATCACCAAGCCCCTCACGCAGGGGTTGCCCTCTAGCAACCACTCGGTGCAAGACAGAGATGAGGAGCTAGACGAGCTTGGTGATTTGGCAGAAGACGACGAGGTGCGTTGCGTGCTGTTGTTGGAGTAGTAGAGCTGATTGACATGGCATAGGAGGCTCTGAACGAGACTGCAGTGTCCCCGGCAATCGTCGTCTACGACACTGTCCTCTCTCCAGTCTACCAAGTCCCAGTGCTGTACTTTGGCATACAGGACCCGCTGCATCGCTATCCCCCCACAATGACGACTCTATATGATCATCTTGTTGTGCCGCACTTCAGGCCCCAGACACAAGACACCAGCACGGGCGTCATTGGAGGCATCTCCATGACTGTATGGCTGAACATTAACAATGAAGAGAGAAAACCAGAACTCACGTTTGCTAGGAACATCCAATTACTAACACGCCTGTATTCTTCATCCATCCATGCCAAACTGCCCAGGTCATGCAAGCTAGCCTGCACAAGGACACGACGGCAGAAGCATATCTCATGGCCTGGATTGGCGCACTAGGCAAACCCGTGGGTTTAAACATACCCCTAGTCCTTGCCCAACAACTGACTGTAATTGATTCACGTGATGCGTCAACACGCGCTTGCCATTGTGGGTAGTAGATGATTTACAAGAACATGTATAGTACAGCAACTACAGCCGCATCCGCACACTGGCCCTCTCCAGCTCCCCAATGTTGCCCATGCCTGCCAAGCTCCACTTCTCCGTCACGAAGCCCTCGTCGACTCGATGCCTAAGCATACCGCTCTCGGCATAGTACTCCATGATCGATCGCGCCTCCTCCTTGCTTAGCCCACCAACCTCAATGACATTGAACTCTGGTGAATTGTCGTGCAGACCCTTGAGAGCCTCCATGACACGGGCGTCCACGCTCTTGTACGGATTCCATTGTGGAACCTCGTCGGCCGACACTTTGCGAGCCAGAGCTACTTGGATGCAAAAGTCTAGACCCGAAGACGTAGGCGAGTTCGATTGTGATGTTGCGCCCAGAACTACTCCACCATTTGCGAATTTCTTCTGCCCAGACAGGTGGTCGACGAAGTGGCGCACAAGTGTCAAATCATGGGCGTGGATGGGCTTCACTTGGGCAGACATGTACTCGGAGTGGCGCATGATGTGCGATAGTCCGTCGAGAGCAAGTAGGATCGGAGGGCGCCCCGGCAATGAAAGCTCGTTCCACAGGGCTACGAAGACTGGCCATGAGACCTCGGGATTAGCCACGCCGAGCGCGACTAGCTCTTTCAACGTTGCCTTTGCAGCGAGCGGGAGAGGAAGGTTGGGCTTTGTGGTGAGCTTTGTGGCTTGAAGAAAGGCACCGTTTGCCTTGAGCATCTGCTGGAGAAGGTTGGCTGTATATGTATCCTGGGTATATTGCAGCGGTTCTGAGTCTGGGAGAGGAGCATATTCCGTGTGGGCGTTGACAAGGTCCTGGGCTGGGTCATGTCAGCGAACTCATGTTTCCCGAGTCTTCAATGGCACACATACCTTCTGGGATGTTAATCACGAACCAGTCGCGCAAGAAGGCCATGGCCAGACCCTGAAGTAGCAGAGTGCTCTTCCCACTCATTCTCTCGCCGCATAGTATCCTCCGCACAGTCTTCTTTTGTCCGGCTGCCGAGTCTTCTACGTCCTTGAACAGCTTTGCTAGCTGAATTGCTTCCTTTCGCATCAACACGGCAGGCCGGCGGAAGAGGCTCCATCCTTGGGACGTCTTGAAAGCCTCGACGGCTCTCAGCGCATCCACGACATTTTCCTGTGGCAGGCCCATGACCTTGCCCTCATTCTTGTCGCTAAGTACATTGTCCTTGGTCAGGTCTTGCAGCGAAGACACTTCAAGGGCATTGTCATTGCTCAGCACAATACGCTTTCGCTGAGCCTTTCTTTCGCCCTGGGCCGGTCTCTTTCCCGTGTCACCCGCGCTAGGCGCCTTCTTGCCCTTTTTGGTGTTGAGGGACTTGACGCCCTTCTTGGGCGCAGCCGCCATGCCCTTCTTCTTGGCTACGGCGGCATATCGCATCGACGATGTGGAAAAGCAGGCTACATGTGGGCGCAGCAGGCGGGGTACGGCGGGTGTGGCATCAAGCGAGAGCTGCGAAAAGCTGCGCAGACATGTTGAAGGAGGCATGACAGGCCAATGACGCTCAGGCCCTCCGCAATGGGCGATTTGTGTGGTGCTGAAGATTGAATTCTGTGATGTGATGCCCGCACGCTCGGAGGTCCGCCGCATGTGCACGGACCCTTGACTTCCAAAAATTATTCTGATCTCTCCGCCTGGCGCAACTTTAACTTTTTGCGCATCCCACGGCAAGACAAGACTCGACACACGAATAATTCCAACAACCATGTCAGACACAGAAATGGACGGCGGCGTCGGATTGGGCGTCACATCACCTACGCAGTCGCAACTCGCCGACGAAATCAATGGAGGCGCCATGGACGTCAACTCGGTCGCAGACTCGACCGTCTCAAGCCGACTGTAAGCTATGCATTTTCCCCTCTTGCAAGCCCACTCTTTGCTCATCCGGCCTAGCCCTATTACTGTTGACAAGCCCACGCCTTTTACCTTTGACCTGGGAAACTTGCTCGCAAACGACCCCAACCCCATCCCCGCTGGCGCCGACGAAGAAGCGCTCAAAGCCACCGCCCGCGATGCCGCCCAAGCACTCATCAACCAACTCCTGTCTACCTGCCAGGTCAAGTCCACCTCAGAAGGCGTACATCTGATCCTTCCCGCGCCAACTACGCCTCTCCCTCGTGAGAAGCCTATTCCCTCCGCCAAGGAGCCCACCAAATGGGAAAAGTTTGCCGCCAAGAAGGGCATTAAGAAGCAGAAGCGTGACAGCAACCTGGTCTACGATGAGACCAAGGGCGAGTGGGTTCCCAAGTGGGGCTACAAGGGCAAAAACAAGGACGGTGAGAATGACTGGTTGGTCGAGGTTGACGAGAAGAAGGAGCGCGCGACAGGCGAGGCGCATGACCAGAGGGCGGACAGCCGCCAAGAGAGGAAGGAGAGGATTCGAAGGAATTTGAGAAAGCAAAAAGCCAACGAGATCAAGGCTCGTAAGACTGTTGTTTGAGCTGCACCGGGTGTCCTTTTCTACGCGAGCATCCTTTCTACCACCACTTGCATTTGGGCGGCGTTTGTCACGATATCTAAATCCAGTACTTTAGGGCTTCAAAATTCGAACACTTGCCCCTGTGTTGCTTGGAATACTGTCATGTCATGCACGTGGCTCCTATTCAATGTCATTCATTACGACTGATACCCTACACTACCTCTCTCACGATCAACAACTGAAGTCATTTGGCCAATGTGGAACCAAAATCACACAAATCGACAGCACTCGTACGCCTCCTTTGAATTTCTACCCAAAAAGGAAATCCAAGGACAAATCGCAAGAACCTACCATCTGCCCGTACCAGAGTCGCTGTTCCCGTACATTCAAACCACCAAAAAGCCCCACGTGACTACTACACCTTGCAGTCGTAGGACAGCCAAACTCCAAGAGGCAGCGTCACTCTAAAGACCCTTTAGTTTTTTCTTCTTGAATGGTGACCAGTAGAGCGGGGAAGGAAAACAAGGCTTTTATAGCAAAGCAAATAAGATACATGACTACCTTGAAGCAAGCCCGCATTACAAGTAATTACCCATGTGCCGCTATATCCTGTCTATCAATTACGATTTCAGGCTAGGTCAGCTCTTCGCCAGATGTTGAACGTACCGAAGATCAATTGCGACCGATTCTTCGAGCCAGGCGCTGCTACGTTGTGGCAGTGACTCTGGAATCTATTGTATCAGGACTATTGTAGAGTATATATAAGTTGTTAGATGTCGATTGAAACTCCTGAGTTATTCGCCTTGTTAATATCGAAGCTTTCCATCTCTTCGCAGTTACTTTGTGCGTTGTTGGTATCCATCGTCTTGTTAGCTGGAAGAGAAATGGCTATCGACTTTGCTAAATGGAGAAAAGAACGATTGGGGTGTTGAGAGTGCTAAAGCCATGAACGTATTGCTGAAATTATACGACGATTTCATGGATCCGAGGGCGAACGTAATTGAAAGTACTTGGTTGCGTCGAATCAAGTCATGTACAGTTCAATGTAGATACAAGGAAGAGAAACTTGTTGACCCCGCACAATCATGCATGAGATGGTGTATTAAGCATTGCCGCGGCAGATACCCGCAACGATTTTTTAGCGTACGCGTAAGGTAATGATGCCGACGTCAAGCGCAATGCTTGTGCAAGCTTGTTTAGCCATGTGGTCCCACCACCCCGCATCTCTAGTAGTCTGCAATCACGCCGTATCCTTTCTGAGCTTCAACACTCCTGTTACAGTGGCTCTACTCTCGGCATTTAGCGTCGTTGAGAATGATTTGTTATCGGTGTCAGGTGTATGTGCGGACATTGTCTCGCGTATGTGACAGGGAGGATGTTAAGAACAATCTATGGCATCGGGACGGTGCGGTGGTAAGGGATCGGCACGTCACTGACTGGCCCTGGTGGGGTCTTGTCCCTTTCAAAACCCCACAGCGGTTGACTCTTGTGAGCGTCATAGGATGGAAGACGTCCGCGTGAGGGGACCAGACGCTAGACGTGGCCAGATATCCATGGAACGATGATACCCCAGCTCTTTCCCGACGCTTGCATGGAGTCAGCACGCATAGTGATGTGCTTAAGAATGGCTGACTTCGCAGTTGGGCGCGAGCAAAAGCCCGGGTACAAAGTATTCCATCCCACGCTTCGGGACGCAAACACTCCCATTTAGATTTCGGAACGAGTTCATTTCGGCGTGGGCGCATTGTTCATTTAGTCACACAGCATATCACAACACAACCAGTTAGCACAATGGCTTCTGCAGCTGAACATACAAGCGAGACACCAATAGAAAAAGGAAGTAGTGAGGCGCATATCGAGTCCACCAAACACGTTCATACAATTGAGAATCTTCCAAATCCAGATGCTGGCCTCAGTGAAGAGGAGCGCGCCATCCACGTACAGTCCCCTCCCTAGCATGTCCTCATCCTCTACTGCAAACATTTAACCTTTTCTCAGGACAAAAAGCTACTTCGAAAAATCGACCTACATCTCATCCCTTGGCTATCCTTTTTGTACCTGATCTCCTTTCTCGATCGCACAAATATTGGCAATGCAAAAGTCGACGGCCTACAGCAAGATCTCGGCATGACTGACAGCCAATACAATAACAGTCTCACCATCTTTTTTGTCAGCTATTCGGTGTTCGAGCCACTTACCAATGTTCTACTGAAGAAAATGAGACCAAGTGTGTTTTTGCCTATCATCATGCTTTGGTGGGGTCTATGCATGACTTGCATGGGACTGGTTCACAATTATGCAGGGCTTATGACAGCTGTAGGTGGCATGACAGTACTAATAGATTGATACCTTCAGCTCTGCTAACGGTAAATAGCGATGGTGGCTGGGTGTAGCGGAAGCTGGACTATTTCCTGGCGTTAATTACTACCTCAGCTGTTGGTATAGGCGCGCAGAATTCGGCATACGTGCTGCCGTATTTTTCTCAGCAGCAGCGCTTGCTGGCAGCTTTGGCGGGCTTCTCGCTGCAGGTATTGCTCAGATGGATGGTGTAGGAGGAAAACCCGGTTGGGCATGGATATTCGTAAGGCAAAGCAGTAATTACACAATGCTCATGATTGGAGTACACTAACCGGGCAAAGATACTTGAAGGCCTTACCACAATCTTGGTAGGAGTGGCTTCCTACTGGATGGTCCATGATTTCCCAGCCGAAGCCACATTCCTCAGTCCCGACGACCGAGCCCGCGTCCTACGACGCCTCCGTGCCGACCAGCAGGCGTCATCTGGCCACGAAGAATTCCAGACAAAGTATTTCTGGCAGTCAGTCAAAGACTGGAAAACACTTTCCTTTGCTATTATTTACATGGGAGCTGACGGCTCACTTTACGCATTCAGTCTTTTCTTACCGTCTATCATTGCAGGCTTGGGCTACAAGTCTACGACAGCCAACCTGCTCTCTGTACCCCCATACGCAGTTGCCGCCATGGTGACAGTATTAGTCGGGTATATTGCAGACCGCACCCAACAGCGAGGCTACTGCAACATATTCATATCCATTTTTGGCATCGTAGGATTCGCCATGCTGATTGCATCTGGAAATCCACATGTACAGTATGCAGGTACCTTTTTAGGCGCCATTGGCATCTATCGTGCGTACAAGTTAGGATATAGCAGACTTCATGCTAACATTTGCCAGCCACAATCGCAAACACAATTTCCTGGTGCGCCAACAATGTCGAGGGCGTGTACAAACGGGGTGTCACTCTCGGTTTTGTAATTGGTTGGGGCAACATTAATGGTGTCGTATCGTCGAATATCTACCGCAGCAAAGATAAACCAAGGTACTTTCTTGGCCACGGTGTGGTGCTTGCTTACCTTACGCTGTGGCTTTTTTTCGGGAGCATCATTACGCGTTTCTTGTTGATTTGGGAAAATAAGAAGAGGAGGCAGGGGCGTAGGGATCACTGGGTTGAGGGGAAGAGCGAGAGGGAGGTAGTGGAGATGGGGGATCAGAGGCCAGATTTCTTGTACACATTATGAAATGGAGGTTCTCATGTTTCTCAGTGAGTAGGAGGATTGTCTTGGATCGCATCAGTGATTGTACAAGGAAAATTCGGAAGTATACTTGCTAATCCTGCATAGCATACCAGTACTTATCGTTCATTCATTCCACACCCCTAGTGATTGTTCAATACATGTGATATACAGTAAAATTTCCTCTCCAATGCAACGCTAGAACAGCAGAAAAATGCAAACCTTCAGAAAAACAATGAATCCTCCACGAACAGGGGGAAAAAACCCCACTAGTCCGATTGCGGCCTATGCGTGCATTCAAGCAAATAAGCTTATACGATTAAAAAGTGTAAATTTCCCAGTTTGCTCAAAACCGACGGGAACGTCATTTCCAGGCGGACAAGACAATCATTTGCAATCTTGCTCATATTTTCCAGGCCCCGCAGTGCACTATAAAGTGCAGTTTGCAATTCAAAGACGGGATCGAGATATGAGTGGGAGCACAGAAAGTCGATGCAGTGATAGAGGAGGATGGGGATGAAGGGATGGACCTGAGGATACTTGTTAGCTTGCTAATTTCTGGATTCCAATCCCACGAAAGAATAAAAAAAATAGAAGTATGAAGAGTATGTAGTACCTGGAAAAAGCTCAGTTCCGACAACTCCTTGGAGAGGGCAGTCACTCGTTGGGCGGCGGGGAGGACCATGTGGGTTAGCTTCTCAATAGCGTCTTGTTGCGTGTTTCTTTCGGATTGGGTCAGGGATGTTTGCATCGTCTTGTACATTGTTATGATGGCTGCTTGGGTCGTCATGTGTGTGAGGAGCGGCAGGGAGTCCAGGTGCAGATTTGCGCAATGGTCTTGGAGCGACAAGCGCTCCAAGTTCATAGCAATGCTGGCTTCGAGACGTTGGTGGCGCGTCCAAAAGTCGAGACTGGATGCACCTTGGGCTTCTTGCTCAACCATGCTGCGCTGGTAGTGGGATAGGCTTTGGTTACATAGAGTGGCCTGTCGAATGGACTCGGTAAAACTGGATGGTGCTTGGGGTTCGTCATCGGGCCGAGCTTGTGATGGTAACGGCATAACGATTGGGTCGTTGTTCTGGAAGTTTGCTTCGGGCATGGGTAGTCGTGTTAATATCTAGCTACTTGGTTAGGTCCATGATTACACTCTTGAGTTTTTTTTTGTGAAGAACAGGGTAGCACCCACTATATGCTGGTTGAAGGTCAACGGAAGCTGATCCATGAGACTGACAAAGCAATCAATCACAAAGAGCATCCAAAAAGTTCTTCTTCGTTCTTCGATTTCAGTTCCTGTTAGCGATGAATTGGCAGAAAGCTCATCACGCCCATCAACCGTGTGAAGCTTTTGCAATATAGCGGACCGGAAAAGCTTGCCCGCACTCATCCAGCCTTGTCTATAGTTGACATGCATTAACTCGTAGATAAAAAGCAGTGTACACGCTTGAAGATGCTCCACCTGAATGTAGTCATCCATTGATGGATCCATCTCGAGGCTGTCCAGGATCCTTCTTGCGTTTGCATACAGTTCGTCCTGAACATGCTGAAACTGGCTCGAGGTTGATGCGGCTACTGTCCACATTGTATACCGTAGACCGGAGAATGCCGTCACGTTGTTGTCCATGCTGGCTTGCCTCGCTCTGTCGAAATAGTGCCGCTTGTTAAGAATTGGACAAAAGTTATGCGCTCGATCAAAGTAAAGATGGTCACTAGTCATTCGCCCGAAAGTTAGTCGTGTAATACTATCACGTAATGGTTGGGACACGAACAGGTCATGTTTGATGACATCCGAGATTTGTCCCATAGTGGGATTCTCAATTAATGGCGCAGGTAGTGGAAAGTACTCGACTGCGGAACTGTCGGATGAGCTGTTGGCTGAGCTCTCTCGCACTTCATTGAAGACATCAAGAGCGAGCCATTCATTAGTTGGCGCCTCTATTGATGACGGGTAGGGCATGTTTGCATCTTGAAGAGCTTGAAGGTCTTCTTCAGTATGTTCGCCCAGAGTCTCATCACCCAGAGTCTGGTCGCCCAGACGACGTTCTAGCGCCACTAGTAGGCTTGTCAGCATCTGGAAATAGAGACGGATGAATGCACTTACTTATACGCAACTGTAACGCTCGCAGATGACCTTTCTTTGGACCGCGAGGCTGTTTAGTTGTTGTTCGATTGCATACGACGCCAGAGTCTCGACACAATCCGCACTGCGGCTGCTCTCGGTCACAGCGAAGCTTTCGTCTACGACATTCATCGCAGGCCAAGCCAGCCTGTTGGCGAGGACGAGGAGTGGTGGGACTTTGCTGTGAGGGATACATAATTACTCTATCTTCACAAAGACTGTGAGACTAGGAAAATACAAATAGACATTTAATTGTACAGTTGGAGTAGCATTGGTAGGATATAGTTTTATATTCACAAAGGAGAAAGGCTGCGTTGCGGTTCAACGATCGACATACACTATAGTGGGTAACGGCGATAATGCGGGGGAACTATGGCATCGCGACAATGTGTATCTACATGTTGCCAGGGTGAGTTTGGTATAGCAGGGCTCTGGGGCTGAGTCGCAGGGAGACCTGGTTGCCGGCACTTGTGTAGGATGACGCAGGACCGGTAGCGAACGAGCGAAACCAGACGACGATAGGTACTATTGCACCGTAAGAGGGGACGGCGTGACAGTGGGTCGCCAGAATTCGGTCGACCTTCCAGGCGAGGCATAGGCGTCGGCGGTTTGAGGCCTTAGTCCCCAACCGTTAGTGATTTGTAGCCCCACAACCCGTCGCGTTGCAACGTGGGATTAATCCTGTATCAAGTGCAGCAGAGCTCATTCTTACTCGCCCTCAACGCCGTATCTTGCATTACCCTACAGGGTTGGCCTAATCTAATGTACAGGGTTATCTCAGAATAGCCAAGACACTTGCTAGTCTTACCCGTTGTACTACTTTTTAGGCCTAAGAAATATAAAACAGGCGGGGCCTTTATTTCTCCATCGGAGTTTGCGAGATTAACGGGACATATGAATTCTCGATCTGACATACATATTCTCGATCACCTGCATATCCATCCGGTCTTGCCTAGGCGTTGTCAACATCGGACAAAGAAGCAAGGACGACGCGTACGAGCAGTTTTGCGATATCTAAAACACTACTGGAGTGAATCCAACCAGAGCGACATCTGGAGCAGGCTGAAGAGAGTTCGATTCGGTTGAGAAAATTGGTGAGGTTGCTAACGAGGCTTCTAGAGAAAAAAAAACACAGGAACCAAGACAAGTCGAAATGCAAAAGAAAAGTATAGAGTACGGTACTTTTCTCAGACCAGAATGTACTGTTGGCTAGTTACGGAACTGGAAACAATGAATAAAATGGGGGCCCCACCTAGGCTCTTTTGCTGAAGCATTATTACTACCCCGAGTTTAAATCTTACCGCATCGAGTTAGCTGGACTCGGGTGATTTAGTCGTGTCCAAGCCTAGGTAGACCAGGGCGCATAATATACCAAGCAGGGTTTAGGCCAACGACAAGGCACTACTATGCTCAGCTCTAACTAGAATCTTTGCATTAGCTAAGCATCTGTGGCCTGCTAGCCTGCCCTTTGGGTGCTCACAACTCGCTTTACTCTAGGCGAAACACGACATCGCATTGTTCGTATGACCATCTCAGGCTTGGTCTGCCTCAGACGACGACTTTGGTCTCAGCATGACTTGAAGCAGACATCAGAAACACAGTAAATCAACCAAAACGCATCGCAATGGGTTTCGGAACACTACAGAGTTGTGCACTCTGAGGTGGATACTTCTTACTCAACAACGAATGTCTTGGAGAATAATGGCAAATATAGGTATGGTGCCGTCTTAGACAACTACAGCGATGTCTCCAGCCCATTCAAGCCCAACACCTGATCTATAACCTACTCCTCTTTCTCCTTCTCATATTTCTTCTTCCCTGCGTCGGTATACGGCGGATACGAGTTCCTGCAGTCGGCGCTGCTTTTGGGTTGAACCCTCTTTTGTGCAACATCAAACTCGGTGCCGTTGAGTTCGCCCTTGGCGAACTCCCATTCGGTGACACAAAGCTTGATCTATCGGGCGAACGCTTCAGCGTGGTTTCCCGACTGGTAGAGATTATCTATGTGTATGTAAGACCGAGTTGTTAGATTTCCTTGTCCCTACCTGATGCATTTGCTGACGACTCACTCTGGTTGCCACATCAACAAGTGTCCCGACGCCACCGACGTTTAGTGCGGGAATCGGCCAGTCACTCTGACCTGCTGGAGCAATGAACTTGGATTTTTTGTTTTCAAACTTGCGCTTATCCTGCCAACCTTGGCTAGACTGTCGCACATGAGTTTGATTGCTGCAATGTTTTTATATCGACAGAGCAAGTCTAACATTTCCAAGTTGATGTCGAGACCTGCAACAAGGGGAATTGACGATCCACCCGTAAGATCCTGAAGGTACGTCACAATGTCATATTGGCGCATAGCGAAGCCAAGGTATGGAGAAACAAGAGCAAGGCGGTACGGCGTACTCGGTTCCTTTGCTTCCATAGTCTGGCAAATTGAGTCCCGCGTGTAACCTACTACGCCCTATCGTGATAGGCAGCTCGGCGCGATCAAGACGCTACTCCGCCATGTCCGGTCTTTGTAATAATTGGGCTCTTCTCTTCAGACGACCAGGGTCAATTTCCCTCCATTGGTGCCGGTAATCACGATTCTATGGAGGCCGTTGGATATGAGAAATCTCGAGTGCTTCCTTGGAAGTCCCAGTCAATCTCTTGAAAAGCATCGCCCTTGAATTACCTCAACCGAGGCACGTGGAGTCTGAGTGGGAGAGAGTACGAGGTAGAGCCATGTTGACTGGCTATGAAAGGCATATTGTGGATGATATCAATGTCTGGATGGGGGAGACTCGCGAGCCATGAGACACAGGGAACAAAGTCGTTGAGACGCGCATAGTGTGCACATCTTGGATGACGACAACGCCAAGGACATATCCGTCACCTCCGTACCGTGAGCAGAGATGCACTTCTGTCTTGGAGATGCGGTTGTATATCCGACAGCAGCGATTCGCCATTGCAGACTACGTACGTACGGCTAGTAATAAGTAAGTACTCGGAGGGTCGGGGCATCCGCCGACAACGCGTCGCGTCTCGGCTGCGCTAGTAGTAAACATCTTGGTCCGCCCGCCCAATTACAGTCGTCTCGGGACTCTGCTGGTTGCGATGTTCACCTTGGTCCCGATCGCACCACCCGGTCCCATGTGTCGTTGAAGTGGGTTTCACGGTAAAGCCGGCGAGCTAACCAGGCCGTTTACCCCAGGTTTCTGGATATTGCATCTACCACTACTTACGTGTACCTTCTTCCTCGAACTTCCCTTGACCTTGACACGAAATGCATTCCAGGAAACCCATGTCCACAAGAATCTCACCCGTCTCACTAAGGAGCTGCGACTTGTCATCAAGTTCACGAGGACCTTTCCTAGCCCCTCAGGCCTTAGTGATTCCGGTCTTGAGGCCTTTAGCGGGCGTAGAGTTCCACATATGCGGCTTGACCCGTGGGTGTTCGTCTAGAATCGGACTAGAGCTTCAGATAACGTCAGTTGAGTTACGATGCCGGCGTTTGTGAGTGGAAACGAGAGAAAGTGGTGTTTGATCCTGATGTCATAGGCGATAAATCGGTAAGCTGAACAGTCTCATTCTCAAGAGAACGGATGTGGATCGCGTTAGAACTGTGGAGTAACTACGACGATTCGCCTTGTTCGGATTCAGACCGGCAGCTAGTTGGGTGTTGCCCGAGAATTGGGTACTTTTGGCTAATCATTACTGATGAGCAACAACTAGTATGTGAGCGAAAGTCCCATGTTAAGTAGGCCTCAGCAAAGCCCAATCGACATACGAAGATGGGTTTATGAACTACTCAAGCGCTGCTGCTTACTTCAACTTTCAATTTTGTTATTTTACAGAGACCGCCTCTTATTACTTATGGTAGTTCGATGTGCGAACTAATTACGTGGTTCAGGGTAACAGGCACATGAAAGGTCGCACAACTAGACTATGTAGGCTCGGAATATCTCGCCCTTTAAACAGCGAGACTCTGATCTTCTCACCAACCGCTTTCTCTTCTCGAGACATGAAATGCTAGACGCGCGACTCGGTGAGCAATCCTTTTGGCAAACCCTCGGCTAGCGATGAAATGTGCGTTTAAGGAACTTGTGAATCTAACGGTAATCTATGCTGTGTGGGAGAATGTACATTGTCTCGCAGCAATTACAAGTGTCGTATAAATGGTTTGTCATGCCATCGAAAGACAACAGAAGCATGGAAGATTAGAGTTAGAGTTAAAGACTTGCCTCAAAAATTAAACGTGTTTAGATTTGCAAATGCCGGGGCCATCGCTGCAATAGTCTTTAAGTAGGACTTTCAGGTTTAAATACTATAGCACTTGAGGGCACAGTGTTCCAGTTCAGGGTGTACTACTAAGGATGAAGGGAGCACGGCGGTTCTGATGAATATCCAAAAATAAAAACGGGTATCAATTTATAGCCAAGAGAAAGTCGTCTACCTTACGCATGCTGTATACTACAACTCCATAGCAAAGGTTAGACTAGGTGTAGCCAGACTAGGCTTTGGTGTAAGCTGGCAGATCGTCAGAGGACTGCACCTTGGTGGCAGCCCTTCTGGCCATCCGCCTCTCGCGGCGATCCAACTCCCTCGCCACCGCCTTGGCCAACTTCCTCCTCTCCTCCCTCTCCTTCTGCTTCAAGATATCGTTCTTTCCTTTGCCTGTCCAGACCTTCCTGAACTCCTTGCGGAACTTTTGGCCAAAAGTGACGTGCTTGTCAGCCTCGTCTTCAGCTTGGCGCTGCTTGTGCTCGTCCTCGTCCTCGGTGTCGTAAAAGTCCGAGTCATCGTTGTTGTCGCCATCTTCGACGAGGCGATTGGTTTCCGAAAACTCGAGGCTGACGGCGCGTTGGTTGCGGGCTTTGTCCCAGGCCTTTGTGCGCGAGTATGCGATGCAACCGGTGATGCTGAGGACGGTAAGAAAGGGAAAAGAAAGGAAGAGCAGCATCACGATGCCAAAGGCGATGAGGTCTTCGTCCATTGTGTGTGCAGTTTGCGAGAGTGAATAAGTGATAGATTGTGAGGGTGAGGTGGGAATGTTGGAGGGGTGGTCAAGGTCAAGGGATGTTGCAATATGTGTGTGATGAGAGAGTGTCGGGGTGTTGGGGAAAGGAGAGGCTTGTTGCCACCTTGGCCAGTGTGGCGCAGCAGCCGTGGCGACGGTCATATGCAGTAAGTATGCACGTCACTGCCATGCATGAGTCATGCATCAGCACCTTGTAAGTGTACCCTACTCTACACTACACTACATACACAAATATGTAGTATACTACTATTCTTCAGTCACAATCATTATACATAGTACATGCAGTCGTATCCAGCGGCATGCGGCTTCATCGTAATCTACACATTACAGGGCATGGCCCTCTTGGTAATTCTGCGCTAGAACCATGGCCGAATAGGCAAGTTTCGGCCCTGTCTCGCCAGGGGTCATGCTTATATACGGTTGTTCGCCCTTTCTGCTGTGCAATACTCGACTCTACAGCGTCCTCCATCGTCCACTATCGTCCACTGAAATGCAGTCTCACAGCTGAGTGAACAGAACCGACCACAAAATGGTAGTGCGAACATGCACGCCATGGCTACCTCTTGTGTTGCGGGTTGCGGGCTTTCGTCCTCTGCGGCCTCTGCGCTGCTTTCCGATCGTCCGGCAATGACATGCTTTTTGTTGGTCTAGCGCAGCCTGTCGGGCCGTTCTATCTACTGTGCATGTGCAATCGACTTTCAGAATACATAGAGTCAACCGTGGTACTCGCTCTTATATGATTACCTGAGCTGAGCTCTCTATACTCTCACGTACCCGGCACTGTGGACAAAAGAGCCATCAATATCACTGACATATCTTTTTGTTTTTTGGGTGTGTTTTAATGTCTCTATACATCGTGCGAAAGTGGGGGGGGGGGGAAAGAGATTATTCTCCATCTTTACGAAGGTGCTAAGCTAGGTTGAGGGTATTAATAACATCACATTAGCCCTTTTAGACCTGACCCACACCGCTGGAATTATGGATAATGCGATGTTCGTCATTGCTTTAAAAGACCCTGCACAGTTTGCGTTTGTATATATGTGGACTTGTCACGTCCTGGAACTTTGTCTCATTCCCTTCTCCATCGCCTGGTACTGATAAAGCCATTCTTTTTACACCAACATTTATCATGGTGGGAAGCGTCAACAAGCTTCTGGCCATTGCCGGCACTGCCTCGGCAGCCGTCTTCGACCTGCCCGTTGTCATCAAGGGCACATACAGCAGCGTCAAGCTCGACATCGGCACGCCCCCGAAAGAACACCAGTTGTTGTTCGATACCGGCTCATCAACCCTCTGGACCGTCAGCACCGACTGTACACAAGACTCGTGCCCAGAAGAAAACACGGAGCTGTATAAACGACAATACTACAATGCATCTGCATCATCCACGGCCGTCGAACTTGCTATTCCCGCCACGATTCCTTACTTGGGCGGTAACATTAAGGGCGAAATTTACCAGGATGTCTTCAGCGCTCTGGATGGATCCGTAGAATGGAACCAGTCATTTATTGCAGTCAATGAGAGCTCATGGATGTGGATCACTGCAGACGGATTTCTGGGTCTTGGATTCTCTACCATCGCAGAGCCCAACACGTCGACGCTGGTTGAAACGCTACTGTGGGATGGCAAGCTAGACAAACCCCGGTTCGGCCTATACTATGGCAAGAACCTAGGAGACGAGGGCCCTCAGGACGGTGTGCTGAGCATTGGCGACAGTCACGAGGACAAGTATGTTGACGGCCAGGTGGTTTATGCTCCTCTGCAGAAGGTCAACAACGAGCATGATCTATGGCGCACACCGTTGAAGGCTGTCCATCTACTGGTTGCCAAGAACCCGTCCAACCCAAACCACACAGTCGAGACACACATTGGCAAACTGCCCACGACGCAGTTTTCCGGCAATGGTATTGAGTCGGTAAACATGACTTTATCAACGTTCGGGGACGGCAAGGCCGTTTTCGACACAGGAGCTGGTCGCCTTTCCGTGCCATACGAAATGATCGATTCTCTATACTACAACCTCGGCTGGGATTACCAAAGTCTGCTCAACGGCACGCAGCGCTTTACATGCGAGGGGATGAACGCATCCTGGGCCATTTCCCTGGTCCTTGGTGAAGGTGCGCCCGAGGACGATGTCGTGGTCAGCATTCGCGGCGATGAATTCCTCGAGCCTGGAGCACAATGTATGCCGCCGTTTGACCCTTCCGGTGCACCTTCATTTGCACTTGTTGGTAGTGCCTTCCTCCAGAGGTACTACACTATATGGGACTTTGGTGCGGACAAGGTGGCCGAGTACAAGCCTCGGCTTGGATTTGGAAGGCTCAAGAAGGAGTTTGACTGGAAGTATCAATCGTGAGGGTCACGTGGAAGGTGGAGGATCTCTACCCGATTGTACATGTATATACGTAATATATCAAGATGAGATGCAAACGAGATACTTGGTGCTGTGACGAGTGTCGTTGTTACGGGCGCAAAAGCGTGCTGTGTACTAATGATAACACGACGAGCGGTAGGTACACCAGCTAGTAATGCCAGCGGAAGCGGGTAATACTTTGCACGGTTGTCGGAATGAGTATGTTGATTGAAAGCGTATGTATGGTGGTGGTGGTGGTGTCAGGGCCAACACGAGTCTTCCTAGGCTACGTCAAGGACCCTGGCGCTAGTCGCTGACAGACGCGCAACCACTGCTTTCTGTCCTCATCTCGCGTGCTCTGTTGTCTGACAATCAAACCCAACAACCTCTCACTTCGCCATGATCCAGGCTCTTCTCCAGGCATGTCTAGCCCTGCAATTGCTGCCTCTGCTCCTAAACCTACCCCACCTTTCGTTCACCACTAACATACACTACAGCGCCTGGCCCGTTGGCTCGACCGGCCGCAATTCCCATGGAAGCGCCTGGTTGTCGGCTTTTCTCTCGCAGAGTTTGCCCTCGAAAACTGGCTTCTCTTCCGCCAGTACCGTGTCCTCCAACGCACTTCTATCCCCAAGGCTCTCGACAAGGAAATCGAAAAGGAAACGTTTGACAAGTCTCAGGTGCGCCTCCCCTCCCTCCCCCACTGAAGCGGACGTGGCGCCGATCGTGATATTGATACTGACAACGGCCGCAGCAATATGGTCGCGCCAAAGCAAAGTTCAGCTTCATCTCCGGTGTCTTCAACCAGCTCAAGCACCTAGCCTCTCTCTACTTCAACCTCTACCCGTTTGTCTGGACTGCCGCCGGCACTGTCCTCGCCCGCTATGCACCTGCTCGCTTCTCGGGCGAGATATCGCAGTCGCTCTTGTTCATGTACATGCTCGGTTGGATCGACTTGATCGCCGGTCTCGGTTTCTCGTACTACCACAGCTTCGTTCTGGAAGAAAAGTTTGGCTTCAATAAGATGACGGTCAAGCTCTGGCTCACGGACATGGTCAAGGGCCAGGCGCTCGCCATTGCATTTGGTATTCCGATTGGAAGCGCCTTCCTGGCCATTATCAACAAGACGGGACAGGGCTTCTTCTACTACCTATGGATGTTCATGCTGGTTGTGCAGATTACCGGCATGACTGTCTACCCGATCCTCATTGTGCCCCTGTTCAACAAGCTGGAACCGCTCAAGCCCGGCAAACTCAAGGAGTCAGTCGAAGCGCTTGCTTCCAAGCTCAACTTTCCCCTTTCGGAGCTGCAGGTCATTGACGGCAGCAAGCGCAGCGCTCATAGCAACGCTTATTTCACGGGCCTGCCCTGGATTGGCAAGAAGAAGATTGTCATCTACGACACACTGCTGGAAAAGAGCACGGAGAAGGAGGTCGAGGCCGTGCTTGCACACGAGCTCGGTCACTGGAAGATGAACCACACGTCGCGACTTCTCTTTATTAGCCAAGCGCATCTATTCTACATTTTTGCCCTCTTCTCCGTCTTCATCAACAACCGGTCGCTGTACGCAGACTTTGGCTTCCACCGGGAGCAGCCGACTATTGTTGGCTTCATGCTCTTCAACGAGATTCTGTCGCCTACGGACTCGATCGTCAAGCTTCTCCTCAACATCTGGACCCGCAGCATGGAATACGAAGCAGGTACGTGGCTCAAATACTTGAGTGTTTTTGTGTGATCAAGACTAACGTGAAGCAGATGCTTTTGCCGTCAAACTTGGCTATGCGCGTGAGCTGGGCGCATCGTTGATCAAGCTGCAGATCCAGAACCTGTCGAGCATGGATGCCGACTGGTTCTACTCGAGCTTCCACCACTCGCACCCGATTCTGACAGAGCGTCTCAAGGCTATGAAGTGGACGGGCGAGAAGAAGATTGTGGTTGACAAGGCGGCCGATGAGGACAAGGCTGTAAAGGCAACGGATCGGGAGCTGTAAGCGTTAGTCGGGGGTGGTGGTGGCGGTGCGTGTGAGTGTGTGATGTGGGACAAAAAAGGCCACGGGCGTGTGGAAGCAAGATTGGGTGCGGACCGTTGATGTAGTACTATCATGTAGCTCCAATGCGACGGCGCAAAAAGTGGCAGTGCCTCTCATCTCGGTCGGTTTGTGGTGGCATGGCAAGATGGCTAATCCGACTTTTTTGCCTTTGCCGCATTGTCCCTCTTCCTCTGCAGGTCTCGCTCCTTCTTGGCCTTCTTTCTGGCATCCTTGTCCACCTGTCCATCTGCGGGCGATTGTTGGTTATGATCATGGTCATGGGCCTGGTCCTTCTTTCTCTTCTTGGTGTCGTTGGTCTGCACTGGTGGTTCCTGTCCACCTTCTTGCACGACGTTGGTCCTGTTGCCCACGTCGCCAATCTCGATGCCGCCTAGCTCGGCCTGGTAGGTGGCCTTGTCTTGCCAATCTTGCTCTGCGCCCGTGTTTTTGCTGCCTTCGCCATCAGCAGCAGTGTCCAGGGCTTCGTCCTGGGCCTCGAGAGTCGTGTCGGGCTCAAGGTACTCGCCGCGCAATCCCGCGGCTACACGGCGCAGATGGTGCATGAGCAGGTTCCCCACGGCGCCGCCCTTTGCATTGAATGTCACGCCATCGGGGGTGATGAGGGCGTCGGGGTGCAAGTGCGCATGTGTCTCGGAGTCTTGCAGGTACTTTTCTAACACGGCGGATGCGGCGCTGAGAGACACGGGCGCGCTGGATACCTGGCGGCGTGGTGGGGGCGCCTCGAGTAGCATGGTTGTGCGATTGTATAGAAAAATGAGGCGAACTGGTTATGGCGCAAACATTAATCTTGGGTTGAGTGGTGCATTCAGAAAAGAGTCTCGGGTATGAGCGTGTACACGAGCAAAGATACAACTTTTTGCGCACGGACGCCCGACCCATGCTTTATTAGTTTTGGTCTGCGGACTGGGGAACGGGGCGCTGCAATCGACGAACCATTTACACACACACGCACGTCAATTGGGGGAGAAAAGAGGATTTGAGAGAGGCAGAGGGACAAAAAAGAGCAGATACAAAGTCTTCCAATTGTACTGAAGAACAGAAAAGAGGGGGCGCGATGAACGCTTTTCGGTGCCTGAGGGTTGCTTCAACCAGCTCTTGTGCGCTTCTCAGACCACGCACATCAGGCACAGCAGCAGTAGTAGCAGCACAACGGTATGCGCACACCCTCTTGTATCACGACATGACCTAGCATCGCTGACTTTTGTTTCTTCTCTTCTCTGTAGCCTACCCACGCCCTCGCAAGCCCGCCAAATATCTCTCCTCTCACCCCGCCGTCCCCTCGTGCCTGCGACATACTCGTCGCCGTCAACCTTGGCTCCGCCTGGCACCTCGTCTTCCCTTGCCAACCCGGAAACACTAGACCTTGTGGGCAGAATATCGGCGCATCCCGCCCTGGGCAGTACGCAGATCCGCTGCGGACCCCGCGACACGTACAATCCCAGTCATTTGGTGCGCAAGCGTAGGCATGGGTTTTTGAGCCGTCTGCGGACAAAAAAGGGGCGCAAGATGATTATGAGGCGGTTGAAGAAGGGCAGGTGGAATATCAGTCATTGAGAGGGCCGAGGACGAGACGGGTGGCCAACACACCAGTGTGCTGGAACTGCTTCTATGAAGCTCTATACATGGCAAGTGAGACGCCGACGTCCTGCTGCTATGACCTGGAAACAACATGTACTCATCACGCTTGTAATATAAATGCGGTATAGTTCTCTGCACTGACTGTACCACCGCATTCTAGGGTGCAAGTACAAGCTTGTATTCGTCGATATAAAGACCACTGTATAGGCTCTTGGACCATCTAGTAGCGCAGTACGGCAACATGGCTGCATTGGAATAGCAATGCTTCATCCTAGCCATCACAGGAGGGCGCTATTTGTGTATACATGTCTTCCCCTGATGTTGCTGAGGCAGGCCCCCAAGCTATTTCGTCATGGTAGATCGTCATGGCAGACTGCAAGCGCACCCATATGTCTTGAATGCGTTGCTCAGATGATGATACCACGTGACGCCCACGGCCACCAAGATACCACGGCACTTTTTTTTTACAGCAATCAGCCCAAGACAAGGCACTTCATTCAGGCGTCGCTAGTGCTTCTTCCTGCTTGTTCTTGTCCGCGTCCTTGAGCACCTCCTCGCCACCACTTGCATCCAATGTCTCCGCAAGCTTCGCCTCCTCGTCTATCTTGTCAATCTGCTTCAGTATAAACGCAATCGTTGCATCCCGTGCCTTGTCCACCCTTCCCAACGCTTCCATGCTCATGCTGTCGTAATCCACTAGCTTTTGAGGCGTCGGCAGCTCCGCCCGCCCCTCGCCTTGCAACCTTGCCTTTTTCTCGCTCAGCAGCTTGCGCAACGCGAAGATGTTGTAATCTCTTTCTTGCAGATTGCCAATGAGCTCTTTGCGCCTCGCCTCTTCTCGCTCTTTCTCCTCTTGCACTTTCTGCTTCTTGTGACTGGCAGAACTCGAAGCTTGCTGCGCACTGTCAGATGACAAAGCGCCTGCGACTTTGGCCTTGCGAATCGCCTCCTTGGCACTCGATTCAATATGCGTGAAGCGAATAGGACCAATGTTTTGGCCGCCGTACCAGCGCCCAACAACCACGGTCCCGCAAGTCGATGTGTCGCGCAGTACATTGCTGAGCCGTGTTCCCGCCCATTTCTCACCGTCGTCGTCATGCCCCGTTTCGTACAGAGTGTGCGACGCAGGCATCAGTGACTTTTGCCGCGAGGGCTTGCGCCATGCCGCGATCCTGTGCGTTGCGGTGCGGAACTCGGGCAGCGCTTGGAGGGCTTTTGCGCTGAGCGAGGGAGAGAAGGCGGCTGTGAAGGACGATGTCTGCTCATGGATTGGAGTTGAAAAGTAGATTTCTGCTGGGGCTGGGGAAGGCGAGTGTTGTCTTTTCCCAGCCATTGTTTCTATCGTGCTATTGATTCCTCATGACTTTGCCGCCCAAGCTTCGGCGCGTTGACATGGCGGGTTGAGGTTGGAGGTACGACAAGGATTAGCGGATATAAGGAAACGCTAGTAGTAGTAATACTACTAACGCCGGTGCCTAAGGACCGTGTCGAGCTTCTGCCTCTTGATCAAACATCATCTTATCATGTCCGGACATTTCTGCCAAAACCATGACAGCAAAACGACTTTACGGTTATCAATTCATCCAGTGTTGTGCATGTGTAGCAATCTTCTGCAATCTTTAGAATCTGCCTCTCCTTCCCACTAGTCAGACTTGTTTGTCACTAGTATACGTGCTGTAACTAGTATTTGGCGTTTGACTTTGTACCACAGCAACCGACCAATTCACATTATTTTGGGCATCATGAGCAATTCTTCTTAACCTCTCTCCTGGCACAAGAAATACCTCGACATCTTTGCAGACTTGAATCTACAAAGACAGTCTATCACTTCCAAAACTCAATTGGGCTTGTCACACGAAGAGGCATATACTACCCGTGCAGTGTACACAGCGGCACGAAACAAGACAACCCCGCGAATGGACTGCTCTCATGCGGCTAGTACTCCCTGACGCATTTCTATTGTCAGGATTAGATCAAGAGGATCTCTCCCACATAGTCTTTCCAGCTGGTCACATTCGTATGGTACTTCTTTAGCGCTTCTCGAACCCGTTTCCTTGTCTTCTTCACCGTTCATGCCAATCTTTCACAACAAACAATAGTGGTGAAAGCATTCATGCTTGCTACTAGTCCCAGAATGGCTACTAGCCTCCATCCTCTCTCACTTCCCAATTCTACAAATACGGCACGCTAAACTCTTCGGGTCGTCCATTCTCGTGTAGCACCCACGTTTTTCATTGGATTTGCAGCACCTGATCTACTCAAAGAAGAGAATCACCATTTTTGGTGTACTCAAGGGTGAATGCGCTTTAACAATCTTGTTTTCACCACTGGCTTCAATTCGCCCACCTCTTGGTCCCCACAGTGTATTTAGCAGCAACGTTTCACGGTAAGTTTACTTGAGGAGTTGGTTGCCATATTCTTCTCTCTGCCCAGGTCGAAGCCTCGTGGACTCGAAGCGATTCTCCCGCCTCTAGCTTCTGAGATAATTTCGCTTTGCTAACTTTAGCATTGTAGGTAACTCACTCTGCAACTACAGGGCTGAAGACCTTACGTGAAACACCGCACAGTGACTTGGAATACGCCGACTCCCATTATGCGCAGGTTCGAAACCTTAAACCCAGAGACTAAGGATTTGGTGTTATGCCTCCTGCCTGCGCTTGCTACTTCTTTTGGTGTCTCGGATCCTGTAGACATCATCCCGCAGGACATACGGATGCGCGCGTGGGATTGCGAGCGCCGTGATCACATCAAGGAAGAGACGGAGGACGACCCCCGCAACTGGGGTGTCCAGTTCATCAAGGATCTCATGGCTATTTCGCGTCTCAAGAAGGGCGACCTAGCCACATTTCAAGCGGATCTGTACGCAAAGTGCGCTCTGCATGAGCCCAAGCATCCTTGGTGCCGGTTGAACGACATCCGAGAGCTCAAGGACGAGTACGAGCACCCGGAGCGCAAGAATCAAGTCGAGGCGGTGGAACCATCATCCAGCTCCTCGACTGATTCTTATTTTGAAGAGTTGGTCGAGCCGGATGAGGTGAAGGGTGCGAAGCGCCGCCGCGGTGGTGCTCATGAGGTCTACGAGGCTCGCGTCATGAAGAAGCGGCACAAGCGTAAGTGTCGAAGACTGCCTCTGAAGGCCATGAATGCTAAAACTTGACAGATAAGCCCGCCCGTCTCCGCCGAGCAGATGCTGGTGGTTTCCAGCGCCACGACCCAGCTGCGAAAAAGCGCCAACGTGCAAGTAACACACCCAACGACGCCCGTCGCATGACCAACCGCAATAATCGACCAGTCCTCACCGACGAAGACGACGATGAAGACATTAGCTCGACGCGATCTACCCGCGACTACTCTCTCCTTGCCCACCCGGCGCCCGCATTTTCCCTCTCACCAGGCCCACGGGCCGGTTCCACATGCGATGCCGATGCCTCGAACGAGTCTCTGGCGGTGCAAAAGTTGCAGGCGGAGCTAGATCTAGCGGAAGCTGAGCTGAAGGCTGCCCGTCTCAAGTACCAATACATCCAGGCTAAAGAACAGGCTGAGGCGAGGCAGATGCACGGCGATGGTGGTGCTCCGGGAGATGCTCTCTGATTGGACCAGGGACCTGGTTGTGAGGAGAGGGACATTGATGCATGTAGGTGAGTTAATTCCGAGCGCCATGTATACGCAAGCCTCTAGGTCCTCGTATAGCAAGTTAGTCTAAGCCACCGCGCGAGACTCTTGCTGCGGCGGCAGATGGTGCATCTGGTCAGTCAATAGCTAGTTGGTGTATCACGTGACAAATGTATCCTGTTCTCTATAGATGGATGCTGACACTGGGCGTTGAATGGTATGCATACATGTGCAATCTTATAGCAACATCAAGGCATTAAACTCATCTCTTTTGCAAGTCAAGGCCCGATAGCAAGAAGTTGCATTAGATTGTCTGCTGTGTGTACTTTAATACGCACGTAGACGTAAGCAAGCCATTGACTGATGGAGCCTGGTTGACAAATGCTCGCCATCTGAAACGGCTAAACAACGCCTTAACACGAAGGGAGAAGTTGGGAGTAGTACGAGCATGAATGTGCCATATGTACTAGTGGCCAGTAGATGAGAGTAATCTCCGAGGGGCGTGCGACAGGAAAGGGAAACGGGATCTATGTCCTGTATGTACATGGCATGTACTCAGGTAGGTAGGACATTGTAAGTAAGCAAGCAAGTAAGTTAGTACACAAGTACATGAGTAGTACATGGTAGATGTTTTACATGGGCACTGACAAGTGGGGCGTCTCTGTCCGTCACATGCGTTTCGACTGCAAAGCGTTCTAGGCTCTGCATGGAAGACTGCGCAGTCGAATGATCCCTGGGCTGGACATGCACGAGGCCATGCCCACGATCCAGGTACGGGTATCCAATGTCTCCGCACCACCAGCAAAACCCCTCAGACCTGCTTGACTCGGTGCCTCGCATGAGCCTACGATGCACGCAGGCTAGTTTGGGATGGAGCTCCGGCGTTAGCGCCTCTCCGCACTATGTCCATCCCGCCCCCGGATCTTCTGACCTTTCCCGACTCCGAGGTTCGTTCTGGAGAGAAAAAAAAAGAGTGGGAAAAGAAAAAGAAGGGAAAAGGACGGAGCCGAAGAAGACCAGAGCTACAACCACGCAACATGACCCACTGCCATGGACCAGTCATCGCAGAAAAGAGTTTCCAAAGCATGCGACGCGTGCAAGCGGCGAAAGGTGCGCTGCAACGGCCAGACGCGTTGCCAGCAGTGCGCCCACCTCGGACTGCGATGCATCTACTCGCCATCTAGCAAGCAGAGATCACAGGGCAAGAGAGGCCATATCATTTCAGAATTCAGAACCCAGACGTCCACCTCGCCTGCCACAGCCACGCCCATCCTGCCCGCTCACCCAGGCCAAGCCGCCTACCAGGCCGTATACACTCCCATTTCGCCCACCGTCACGAGCAACGAAGCCGAAGCCAGTAGGTCTCTTTTTTTTCTTTCTTTCTTTCTTGAAACTTGCGGAAACAATGCGGAATGCTGCTGCTGACCCGGAGCAGCATCTCCTGTTTCTTCTCTGACGTCGCAGTACACCAAGTCGTTTTTTCTCGACCTCATTCCCGACTATGTCGAGGGTGTGTATCCCGTGCATCCTGTCATTGCCGCGCATGAGCTTCGTCAGTACATCGAGGCCATGGACACTGATCCAGATGTGTGCTCCTTTGTGTATGCTTTTGGTGGCTGTACTCTCAATCTCACTCGCTATGGCGACCGCAGGACAGACGAAGTGGTGCAGACGATTGAAAAGCTCATGGACCACTCCATCGACACCATGCGCCGCTCCCACAAGCATTGCCACTTTTCCGTCATGCGAGCAGTCCAGTCCATGTTTATCCACAATTGCCTGATGAGCCTGCAGGGCAGTGACGCCGCCTTCTTCTACATGCGCGACGCAATCACCATCATCCAGCTGCTGAGGATAGACAACCCGGAGAATGCCGCACAACTGTCTGCCCCGGAGCGCTCTCGCAGACAGCGGCTGTACTGGCAAGCCTTCATCCACGAGCGCTTCCTGGCCATCCTCGACTATCGCCGCGCAATTCTGCCCCCGCTCTACACAATGCCCGAAGACGACCCCACGCTGCCCATCCATGTGCACGAGGGCTTCAGTCATATCATCAAGCTATTCAAGCTGCTGGACACGGAATTCCTCAACAGCTGGCTGGATTCGCAGGGCGCCAACGTCACCAGCACCTGGGTCGAGGCCAAGTCGCGCGAGCTCGAGGGCGACCCTGAGGCGGACGCGCGTGAGCTATCCATGTTATCCATGATGCAGCGCGCCGATTTGTGCATCACACGCGAATGGCTGCGCACCTTGGTGTGGCGCCTCGCTATGAGCCAAACGCTGCTTTCCTCGCGCTCTCCCAAAGAATGCCTATCGCTCCTGTTCCCCGTGCGACTCTCGCAGACGCTGCGGCAACTCGTCTCGAGCATGTCGCGGCAGGACATTGAGGTCCATGGGACAAGCATCACACAGAAGCTGTTTGAAATCACAGACACCATTGCCGACGTGCTGATCCACGTGCCCGCCGCCACCCTTGACGAGACAGCACTGCGCATCGACGACTTTCTCTTCATCCTCGACTTTGTCCTGCTCATCCCCCATCTCGACCACACCCGCCGTGGTATCTTGCTCGAGAAGCTGGAGCGGCTGCAGACAATGTTCCCAGAGGTCCTGAGTAATGCTAGCTCTCCGAATCTGCCCCTCGATGTGCATAGTCCCCCCAGTGGTGGTGGCAGCAACAACAGCAACAACAACAAAAACAACAATAGCCGCAATAACAGCGCTGGTCCCATTGTGCCAAGTGACCCTTGGTATCAGGTCACACAGTCCAAGACGGCTGCAGGACTCGAGCTCATGGCAGACGGGCATGGAGTACTTCAGGCGCCAGCAGCCCAAGGAGCAACACTACCCAGAGGCGAGGCAAGGAGCGGCCTGTTGGCTACCTGGAACAACATCTCCAGGCGCCTGACCATGCAGGTGGCGACGTTCGGTGATGGATAATGAACAAAAACATAGACCCCCATTTCCACATGTACACGTTGTGTATTGTTAGAATTTTTTTATATTCTAATGAACAACTGTGGTCAAAACGATGAGGATGATGATGATAACCACCATGTTGATATCAACTCATCTATCGATTTCTACCAAAAAAAATATTCTTGTCATAACACTTCATTACACATAAAGATAGATCCTTCCCTCGTACGGCGCTAGCGTCTTTTCCTCGACGCCCTCGTCTTGCCGACTACTTACCAGCAGCTGCATTTTCTGTGTCGCCACGCTCTCTGGCAAAACCAGCTGCTTGCTCTCATCTGTAAAGTTGCAAATACACAGCGCTCGCCTCCCTTGCCACGTCTTGCTAAAAACATAAAATTGCTCATTGTCAACGTCGAGATCGTCGTACTGGCCAAAGACGAACAAATCCTTGTGCTCCTTGCGCAGCTGCAGCATGCGTTTCCAGAAGCCCAGCACAGACGTCTTGTCGTTTTGTTGCGCCTTTGCATTGCAAGTGTCTGCGTCTTCTAGCGGCCGCATCCACGGCTTGTCTTTTGCATCGGGCGGACTGAAGCCATTGTACGGCGCAGTACTCCAGCTCATGGGCACGCGTGAGTGGTCGCGCGCAAGGTGCTGCAGCGACTTGTGTGCAGCAGCGAGCGCGTCGACGTCGTTGTTGGTGCGCTTGGCAACCATCTTGTAGTAATTTGTTGACTCAACATCCTTATATTCACTCATGTCCCACGATTCGGGGAAGTTTGTCATGCCGATTTCCTGGCCTTGGTAGATGAACAGCGTACCGCTGAGGGCGCTCAGCATGAGGGCAAGCATCTTGCCGCCAGCGACGCGGTGCTGCGGGGCGTCAGAAGTGAAGCGCGTAATTGACCGAGCTTGGTCGTGGTTCTCCAGAAAAGCAGTGGTCCAGCTGTCAGAGGGAGGCCGGATCAGATCTTGAGTGCGGGCTATTGCGCGCTTGAGTTGTGGCAGTGTCCAGTTCTTGGGCGTAGTTTGGAATTTGTAGGGGCCTTGCCCAACATCGACTACGTCCTGTGTTGGGTGAGCACTGGGTTGTTGTAATGAGACCAGGTCCACTTACAAATTGAAACACCATAGAGAGTCGCTTCTCCTTGGCGCTTACGTATTGGTGTACTCTGTTGATATCAAGTGTGTGTGGGCACTCGCCGACTGTCATGGCATCGTACTTTTCCAGAATCTGATTCATCTCGCCCAGAAACTCGTCCATTCGCGGGCCGTTGCAGTACTGGTAGCCGGCAAACTGCCACTCTGATCCTGGATCGGTGACGGGGGCGTCGCGCATATCGCCCTTGCTGTACATGTTGACGGTATCAACACGGAATCCGTCGACACCACGCTTGAGCCAAAACTCCATGGCCGACTCGTAAATGGCTTTACGCGTCTCTGGATTTTCCCAGTTCAGGTCGGGTTGCTCAGGACAGAAGAGGTGGAGGTAGTATTCTTGGGTGTGCTCGTCCCATTCCCAGACACTGCCGGTGAAGTTGGAAACCCAGTTGTTGGGGGGTTTGCGTACGCCATCAACGTAGCGGGCGGGACGCCAAATATACCAGTCACGCTTTGGGTTGTCCTTTGACGAGCGTGATTCTTGGAACCATTGGTGCTGTGGTGTAGGCAGTGAGCATTTGATGGCCAATGCCATAGCAAAGCACGTGACCAGAGCATACCTGATCTGAAGTGTGGTTGATGACGAGATCCAGGATGATCTTCATGCCCCGCGAATGGGTCTCATCAATCAGCCTCTGCATATCCTGAACGGTGCCATATGGCCTGTAGACGTCCTCGTAGTTGCGGATGTCGTAGCCCATGTCGACCTGAGGCGAGTCGTACATGGGGCAGACCCAGATGACATCGACGCCAATGGAGCGGATGTAGTCGAGTTCCGAGATGATGCCATTGAGGTCGCCAATGCCGTCGCCGTTGCTGTCCTTGAACGAGGCAGGATATATCTGGTAGACGACGGCATCCTTCCACCATGGTCGAGGAGTGATTGTCATTGTGGCGGCGGTGTGGGAGGTGGGAACAACTTGGTCAGAAGACAATGCCGTCGTCATGGCTTTCGGTGGTACCGGCGGCTTTCTTATAGGTTTCTCTGGGGGAATCGCTGAGAGCAAGAGCAGTGGTTGTAGTGGTGGTTGTGGCCGTCACCCCGCACATGGCATGGACGTGGAATGGAATACATAGGTCGGGAAGATTCTCGGGACACCTCGGAACGATTTTCGGAAGACGGGATGTTTCTCGGGGGGATTATGATTGGGTGAATGTCGGCCCGAGGCTCAGGAACGCCATCCAGCACCACTGTCCCCCGCAACGACGCAGCCTCGACCCCACAGTCTGCCAACCTTCACCCCCACAGATAGCCTCGCATCCCCTCGTGCTCCCCATGCTAGTACTGCCCCAGACTATTTCCCCGCCGACATGTGTTTCCCCTGCTACTCCAACCGACGTCTATCCTGGGCTGCCTATCCAAGGGAATAAGCGAGGCCTTATGCGAGTGCGGGGAGATTGCGGCTTCGGCCCTGGTGCACGCACGCTATCGATTTCTGGCACCCGACATGGCGCCAATCATCGCCCGCTCACCTCCCCCTTTGCTCCTCGACGACGACACCATACTCGACACACTTCCCTGGCGAGGGCCTGGCGAGGGCCTGGCAAGGGCATTGTCGCCACACGTGACGCCCTCTGTTGGTGCCTTTGGCCTCTGCTTCGGTCCGACAGTGCGCAAACCATTGGCCAAACATCGAGCCTCCGACTTTTCACATGGCGCACCTGCGTCGGCGCCCATGGCCCCCTCCGGCCTAGCCTCAAAGCCATGACCTCAGTCCGAGTCGCGCAAAGACCACGGCCTCGACATGTTCGCTCGTGGCGTCGCTCCCCGCATCCTCTGTCTCACTCCATCCTCCCCAGCTGCTAATTTGGCACGAGCGGACTTTAGGCTTTGGATGCACATGGGTACGGGTTGTCTGGGGTCACAATCCAAATGTATAAGTACACCGTGCAGTTTCATCCTTGAGATTACCGTTCCACCAGCAGCTCCACCCTTCCCAACAGGCCGGGCTTCGACCCAGACTACTTGCCGGCCTCTTCACCAATAGAAAACACAAACCCCCCCTTTTGACCACACAACCATGTCTCGCCGCAACAGCAGCGTCGTCGGTCCCGACCCAGAACAGGCACGCCGCCTCTCGATTGCTACTCCGGACATCAAGCAGGTTCTCCACGATGCCAGCAAAGGAACCCAGGCCGAGCAGCAGATGAGCCTGGCACAGGGCATCAAGCTGTACCCCAAGGCCATCGCCTGGTCCGTTCTACTCTCTGCAGCCATCATCATGGAGGGCTTTGACAAGGTCCTCATTGCCAACCTCATGGCAGTGCCAGCCTTCAAGCGCAAGTTTGGCCAGCCGCTCCCTGACGGCAAGTACGAGGTCACCGCGGCATGGCAAGCCGGACTAACCAACGGCGCCTATGTTGGCGAGTTTATGGGTTTGATGCTCAACGGCCTGATCGCAGATCGATTCGGATATAAAAAGACCATGATTGGAGCCTTGTTTGCCACAAACATGTTCATCTTCATCGTCTTCTTCGCACACAATGTTGAGATGCTCCTAGGCGGCCTTATCCTTTGTGGTATTCCATGGGGTGTCTTCCAGACTCTGACTTGCACATATGCTGCCGAAGTCGTGCCTGTTCCTCTCCGTCCCATTCTCACCACCTACGTCAACCTCTGCTGGGTCATTGGCCAATTTCTCGCCTCGGGTGTGCTCAAGGGCGTGGCCGAGAGACCCGATCAGTGGGCCTACCGCATCCCCTACGCCCTGCAGTGGCTCTGGCCTCTTCCTCTGATGATTGGCATCTCGTTTGCACCAGAGTCGCCCTGGTGGCTCGTGCGCAAGGATCGCTGTGATGAGGCAAAGAAGATGTTGATGCGCCTGACTTCTCCCGAGAGGCTCCCCGAGTTCAATCCCGACGAGACTATTGCCATGATGCGCCACACCAATGCTATGGAGATGGCTGTATCCGAAGGCACTTCGTACCTCGACTGCTTCAAGGGAACCGACCTCCGACGAACCGAGATTGCTGCCATGGCGTGGTTTACCCAGGCTTTCTGTGGAGCTGGTCTCATTGGATATAGCACCTACTTCTTCCAGCAAGCCGGTCTCAGCGATGCTGACTCTTTTTCCATGAGTCTTGGTCAATACGCAATCGGTGCTGTGGGTGTTTTTGCCGCCTGGGCCCTCATCCAACGGATTGGACGTCGAACTCTGTACGTTGTTGGTGATTTTGTCATGGTCATGCTTATGTGCATCATCGGCGGTCTTGGTACTATTCCCAAGGGCAACATTGGAGCACAATGGGCAATTGGTTCTATGCTTCTGCTCTTTGCCGCTGCATACAATTGCACTGTCGGTCCAGTGTGTTACTCGATTGTCGCCGAAATCCCATCCACTCGTCTCCGCCAGAAAACCGTTGTCCTTGCCAGGAACTTTTACAACATCGGATCCATCATCGGCAATATCCTGACTCCACGCATGCTTAACCCTGGTGCCTGGAACTGGGGTGCCAAGAGCGGCTTTTTCTATGCTGGGACTGCTTTCCTATGCTTCGTATGGGCCTTTTTCCGCCTTCCCGAACCCAAGGGAAGAACTTACGGAGAACTCGATATTCTTTTCGAGAGGCGCGTGCCTGCACGCAAGTTTGCTACCACCATTGTTGACAGCTTCAATGTCAGCGATGCCGACAGTGATTATACAGAGAAGAAAGGAGCTTCCACTCATCTTGAGCAGGTCCACTCCAAGGAGGCTATTTGAGACGATATCAGGACGGACATGGACAACTTCCATTAAACATGTGTTATGAGCCTTTGTATGCCAGTATATACATTCTTTCGCTTTAGCTGCTTCCGGGAAATGCCACTTTCATGTATATTTTTTTAGTGATTATAATGATTAACTGTATTCCTTTGCAATGTTTAGATATAGTGGTAACCATATCATGTCAGTGTTTTTATATATATGATTGCCAAGTGTATCAAGGTGGGTTAGCTCAGGAACCACCTACTAGCAAGTGTCCCATGTCCCCCACTTACCTGGTATACTTTACACATGTGCTGTTTTCCTCCTTGCCGCCATGCCTTTTATAGTATCAGTCGCGGCTAGCTATCACACTAGCCCCTCTCTGCTATCTATCACCTTGTCAATCATGCGTGTGTGCCAAGCAGCTGCTGGGGGATCTTTTACTACCTTGTGTCGATCTTTGGACTAGAATACGAGAAGTGTGGCCACTGTAATTGCCAACCATATCTGCATGTCATCGTCGAGTTGAATTTCAGTAACAAACGAGCATGAGTTGTTGCTTGTTGTACATCTTTGGCCTGTTTGTGCGCCTGTAGTAAGTTTGGATGCTCCGACGATTGCTGGGAGTGGGAAGTTATTCAAGGTAGGAGGATAGAAGATATGATATATTGGGATATAGGTGTATGCACATGGCGACTTGTCGGCTTCAGCAAATCAGCTGTAGATATCGTGTCTAATTTAACTTATGAGTACGTAAATACTTCGCTATTGCTGCGACTGCTGATACATAAAGATTCTTATACTTCGTTTGATATGTCTCATGTCATAGCACTTACGACTCATGCCCTGGTGACATTCCTGCAACTTACCACCCACATAGCCGCATAGCCGCCGTCTTTTGTAGCGGCATTCATGACTCGATTCGCGCGTGTCACCCGTCCCGTTCTGATATTCCGACAACACATTTCCCGCTGTACCTGCATATACGCCCCTTAGCAAGCCAGGATCGGTTCACAGGTGAGTCAATCAACTAAGCACAACGCGGCGTGTGCTAGGACATGGCACGCTCGTATACAGATCCGCTACTGCGGTCAATGCTTCGGTGAATGATCCTCAGATATCCACTGGAGCTCGCGCCGATAGAGTGTGATGCCTTCCGGCTGATTGCTGATACACCCTGTGATCAGGATAATAAATAAGGGTTTGCTAAAGGGTACCAGGGCTGGTCAGGTCATATCATCTGCGTGGCACTGCATTGCTCGTGATTTCGGTTCACTGTCTCCCGGTACTAGTACCTTTTTTACGGTCTTGACTCCTATGTGGCCAGATTTAGTGACCAAGTATAGAATGCCAGGCATCATCTGTACATGATAAATGCTATTAGAGTTTGGTCCGAGGACATTGAGCGGCCAGTGGTACATTCTCATCTGTGCGATTGTTAAATGTTTTGACTATCAAGGCATATGATATATCAGAACCATTACTTGGGTTGGCATGTGCTTTGGTGTGTTCAAATCCTTGTTTTAGCTGTGCTCTAATTGTGGTTCTATCCATCGGAGGATCCTCCGTTTTGCTTCGGATGCACCAAATACTCCTTAGCCCCTTTTCGAGTGGTAGCGACGGAAGCTGTGCCCCTACTACTACGAAGACGAACCACTCATGCCATAGCTCCGTTGGGCATCTATTCAGTACTGAATGAAGCCGCGCTGAGAGGTGAGTTTCCCCACGGTCTCGACACCGTCGTACTACTGGCAAGCATATTGTGGCGTTAATACTCTACAGCGCAAATGCTTCCTCAAAGACGGCAATTTACGCGGCATTGCGTATAGGGAACCTGGGGAGTTTTACAAAGATCTTTGGTATCAAACGAGCAGATCGACTAGAGCATACGATACTGACGTAAAGGATCCGCATAATCGCCAAAATGCCGTCCAGAAAGCGACTACTGGGCCTGCCGTATTTCCAACACGCGGGTGGATAGCACTTTACGAACATTTGCGAATCCAAAAAGCCTAGAAAAATTATACTTTTCTCCTTAGGGAAAACAAGGCCAATTTATCACGAAGCTCAACTGGCCCAACGGACAAAAGTCTTGTAGCAGCCACTTATGCTATCTACGGTACACGGGTCTACTTGTGGCGCTCCGGCTCGCTCCAGAGATTGATCATCGGGCACGCTCCGGCAAACTCTATTCTTCTGCTGGATATAAAAAGCAAGCAATGCCAAGCTGTAATCCATCCGGGAAACTCCGCAATCTTGATCTATTGTCGAACACAGAGGAGCTATAGGCTCGCTGCGTTGCACCACTATAGGGATGTCCTGTTGCCGAGCCGCCAGCTAGAGACAAGCCGACGCTGACTTGTGTCGGGGAATTCCGGTGCTCTGTACATTTGCGTGCCTAGTTCAGTGTGGCAAAGGAGTGTGGCCCCCCCATTCCAAACTTGTGGCACATTGCTGTACGTAGATTTGCGTATTTCGACTCTGGGGTATAAGTGCGGCACGGTAGGCCTTCCGCTCACGATGCTCCGCCTTTTGCAAGTAAATAAACAACCCACATTTTTTGCCCACTCGGTCCACGATTTTACGAAGCCATCATGGGCATTGGACCTCGCGCCAGCGAGATGGTTCGAGTATGCTAAGTAAGAAACAGCTTATTTTAGACGTAATTGACGACTATTCACAGATCGAGGTGGCGTTTCTGGTCGTTTCCTGGATAGTTGTAGTGCTCCGGATCTACGTGAGGACATGTGTAGTCAAAGCATTCGGCTGGGATGACCGGTGGATGTTGTTCGCGCAACTCATGCATACCACAAATGTCATTTGCGCCACTGGAGGCGCATTCACCGGCACTGGAAGGCTGACAAAAGACCTTACACCAGAAAGCATGATGATGGCTTTACGGGTATGCGAACCCCCAGTGATTGTTTGGTGTCCATGTACTAACACCTATTTCATTGTAGTTTTGGTGGATTTGCTATTGGACATACTGTTTGACCATGATCAGCGCCAAAGTATCCCTTGGTCTTTCACTCCTCCGCTACACCCCGTATACGCATGTACGATCTCGTCGCATTACGTACTTTGCCATCTGGATTAGTGTCGTCATAGGCGCTGCATACGGCCTCATCGCGATGTTTCAGTGCAAACCCGTCCACTTCTTTTGGACCAGGGCCATTGGCGAAACAGGAACATGTATCGACATCCATGTCATCATTTCCTTGACATATGTCATGTCTGCTATTTTTGCCGCTTCTGATTTCAGCTTTGCTATTCTTCCCGTCTTTCTAATCAGGGGCTTGACAGTGAGTCGCAATCAAAAGCTCGCACTGATTCCTATCTTGAGTATGGGATGCATGTCCGTCTTCCCAATCCTGCACATGAAACCGCGAACACGAATGGGCTAATGTAGTATCACAGTGCAAGTTCGGCAGTTATTGTGCGCCTGGCTTACGTACAGACCTTTCTCAGCCCAGAATTTCTCTACAGCACAGTACCCATCGCAATTTGGTCAGAAATAGAAATGAGTCTGGCCATCACCGCTGGATCACTATCCACACTACGCCCTCTGTACCGCCTTGTTGCGCAAAAGTTCTCGTGGAGAACAAGCCTGTTTAGTAACCGCCGCTCGCTTGCATCGGTAGACCTGACCACGAGACCGAGACATAGCGATACAACGGACGACAGCTCCAAACACGACGGAAGAACATCGAATATTGACTCTTGCCCCGAGTCGGAGCGCAATATGGCGAGAGCGGCAAGCGAGGACCTGGGGCTTGAGGTTTGTGAACCACGTGCAAAAGCAAACTCGTGGAATACAGTCAAAGTAACCGACGTGCAGGTCGACTATAGTCATCGTGCTTCGCAGAAAGAAATGGTCTAATTACAAGTTGATATCATTGTAATGGTTGTTGAAAGCACAGCTGCATTGCGCACAAGGCATGGCCAAGCGCCTTGGATCTCACAGTGATACTCCACACAAGCCAAAGACACATGTATACTGACCAAGGCAGCGACGGTCGCTTGCAGAGATGTGACTCATAAATTCGAGGATGCGCAAAGCGGCCCATGGCCCCAGTGTGAGCCTACTGCCCCTTGGTACCCTTGACCCCCTCCCTCCTCTCGAGCCCCACGCCCATCAAAAACGCGGCCCGGACGGCGCCTGCAAACGCCGTGATGCCCAGGCTTGCCCAGTCCTCTGCCCGCCATGCTCCGGGACTCAACCGGCCCTGGGCTCCCAGGACACGCCATGCACTCCAGTAATATGCCAGATCCACTGTTATACAAGCAACCTGCACAATAGACCAGATGTTGACGTCGTCTGTGTACCGCAGCAGCACAGCAGACACGATGCCAAAGTTTAGCATGCCGCCTCCGCGCTGCGTCAGCACCATGATATGTCCTTGGTCTGGCACTGGGGGCGAGGGAATGTGTGACGAAAGGACGAGAGAGGGGAGAAAAAAGTCCATGGACGCGCCCCAGACGCAGATGAGGGGGTCGAGATAGGTGAAGAAGAGGCGATAAAAGCTTGGGATGCGTGTGTATGAGGGAGTCATGGATGGCATTTTGGAGTCGGCGTTTCTGTGTATCGATCTTGTCTTGTTGTCGAGGGGCTGGATGTCTAGCGACGGCTTGCAACAAGGGCTAACAGGGTAGAAGGATCATGTTAGGGTCCGGACGAGATGTATGTATGGATGAGCAGGACCTACTTTACTAGATGACCGATGCAGCGAAGATCTGCCTCTAAATCACAATTGTGGGAACTGGGGTACAGGGAGTGGAGTGGGTATCAGCTCTGCAGCCCCACACTACTGTGGCGCCAACGTGCATAAGGCCAAGTCTACGGGTGACGATTACGCCCTACAAGTCATTTGCTGCTAGCTTTCCATTGGCGAGCCTATCGCTGTCGTATTCATGTATTTTAGACTATGGATACGCATCCTAAGCCATTCGCTCAATGGCATACTCAAGCTCTTTTCGGAGAGCACCCCTCTTACTTTCCATATCGGCGAAGACGTGTTTGTAATCGTCATCATGTTGGGATAGTAGTGACTCTAGTATACACTCACCATCTGTTGCAAACGTCTCTGCAATGTCGTCGAGGCCCGTCTCGCTATCGACGATATGACGCACGACTCGTTTTGACGTACTGATCAAGACATCATGTAGACTACGCTGATGAGGCTGAAGGCTCTTCTCCCACCCAATCTCCTCGGCTTCTGACGAAGGTAACGTGGGTTCGGAGGAGAATAAATACTTAGCAGAGGTCGAACTGTGACTGCTAGTAGGCGAGTGCACCCTTGGTGGCGAAGAATCGAGATAAACATGCAAAACTTCGGCTTCTGAGGTGCATTGCTGGTCGTTACGGCAGTCGCCAGCAAGAGTACTACATTTGGTACCAAGATCCAGATCAACAACTCGGCTTGCTGGTGAATCTTGCGCGACATCAATCAACACACCTTGCAATGTCTCAGTCGCTGGATCTGGATCTGGATCTCCTACTATTGATTCGTCCCCTGTCAAACGACGTAAAAACGATGTGGCCTTTCCGCCTTTGGTCCTTCGTGTGAAAGGATCACTTTTTGCAGTTTGCGAATCTCCTGCCCGCTTCTCATGCGCCACATGATCGCAATCTGCGTGGCCGGATATAGCCGTTGATTCTGCATTTGGTGATGCGGGGACAGGTTTGCTGTTGCTCGACAGTATCGCTGCCACAGCTGGAGTGTCCCGTGACCAATCATCCATCTCGTCGACTTCGTATGGTATCGGTGGCGATGATGGCATTTGAGAGAAAACATCATCATGAAGAGGTCTCCTCGCATCCCTTGGGGTGCACGACCGTTTCTGTGTCTCTACAAGTTTCTTCTGCTTCGTCGGGGTCGACGGTACTTGAGTGATGTGTGAAGGCAACATTGGTTTTTTGAACGTTGTCTGAGAGGCTTCCATTGTTTTCTGTGAAGCTTTCAGTCCTGCAATCAGTGAGTGTCTCGAAGATACGGCAGATGACGCGGGTTTGATGAATGATTCCGATTGATCTCGTCGCTTTGTTGCACAGTCGGTTGAGCCGTCAGGGTTGTTTGCTCGTAGCTTTGGCTTCTTGGTCTGCTTTCCGTCCTTTGTAGTATCCGCATTCGCTTTGCGCTTTGCGCTAGACTTCTTCTTCGACTCGATCTGACTTGGGACATAGTCTTCATCGTCATCGGCCTTTTGCTTGACAAATGATTTACGTGTTTTAGTATTGTTTGTGACCTTCTTGCCTGGAACAGTCTTAGAACGATGCGATCTTCTCCTTATCGACGATGCTGCACTAGGCGTGTCTGATTCAGTCCCTTCTTTTTCTCCCTCTTTGGAATATGCGTTTTTCCCATCAAGCTGTAAACCGAGTTTTTGTAAAGCTTTTTGCTTAGCAGCTCGGGAAATACGGGGTAGTTTTCCTTTGCAAGAGGTCGACGACATGGAAGTTGATGGTGTTGTTGTATTGTTGTCTGCTGATGGTGCTTGTGGACTGGTTTGATCGCAGATGTAGTTTTCGCCTATTGCAGGAAATCCGGACCCACTGTGGTCGGGGGCGGAAACAAGGGTGCGGAGTTGTGTATTGGGCGCGTCGCTCTGTAGTTGGCTAAGCGCAGCCTCGAACGGATGCAACAGCATTATGATGGAAGAAGAAGGTGAAGAGGGGGTAAGATGAAATGCACATGCCCACACAGTCGAAGAGAAGATATGAGGCTAGACAAAGGAAAGATATCCGCTTTGGGCGCCAGCGCACGTGGGAGTGGTAGTGGTGATGGTGGCAGTAGGGGAGGCGCGACTATCGGGACTTGACGTCAGACACTGACGCGTGAGTTTCGCGACGCGCCCGAAACGGCAGCTGTCGGAAAATGGATGCCATATCAACTCAGGGGAGGGGTGGCGCAGTAGATTTTCTTCCCGATATCAAAATTCTTTTACCACAATACTAAGGAATTCGCAAGATAAAGAGTTCAAATCTCTCCCCCTATAAGTCCTAAAAGTAGCACTAAGATTCTGAAGACCATTTCTACATTTATATTAAATCTTCTTTAAAATTCCGATTTGTAGGAAGGGGTTCTCAAGTTTTGGCACCAGAGAAGCTTTCTTACTTTTTCTCCTTGTTTCACTACTGCATATAATTCTGAGTTAAAATTGATGTGTCTAGCCAGGATAGAGAAAATCGTATAGTCAATACAATCATTATCATCAACTTAGGAATTGCACATGCTAGGTGGACAAGTGGACCAGTACTATAGACCAGTAGACTTTGGCGCTCTGGCATTTTGTTTGGACTGCGAGGTTGGATGATGTAATCCACTCGATTCGAGTCATGTTGATATAAGGTTGGATGCTGCCAAGTGGGGGTGCTATCAGTCACGTGACTATGCTCCATCGGCAACAGCAAACAGATGGCTCAACAGGACAGCATGGCAGTAGGCTTGTTGGTTTGTTACTCTGTTATTCGTATGTATGTGTAATAGGTTATAGTAAGCAATAGAAAGAAGGGGAAAATAGCATCTTCTTCACACGTATACCAGATGTGACAGCAGGCGAGGGGTAGTGTATTGTGGTATGGTGCCATGTAGTAAGGTGAGGGGCGAGGTGAGTATACACATACACACACATATATATATATATGTAAGTAAGTAATATAACAATGGTAGTAGTGGTGATGATAGTAGTAGTAGTAGTGATGGCTGGTGTGGGATGAAGATATGTAATACTACTAATCCATGTACCGTGTGGTATGCAATACGTGCTATCGATAGTACTTAGCAGCAAACTCCAAAAATGCAACGCAAATCTTGGCATCCCACCCACCACTCGACGGGCGCATCCCATTGTCGACCTCGCACCCGCCCCGCCCCCCTCACACACTCCGCACGCCAAATTCGCAGCGACAACCACCATGCCTGGCGCAAAGACCACCCTGCTCATCGAGGGCTCCTTCGACGAGCTTACCGATGAGTTCGCACAATACATCGACAGCCTCAAAAAATCCCAGGGCGATGACAGCGCCGCCCTCCAGGCCGAGACGGCCGAGCTGCTCAAGGATAACAAAAAAGATGAAGTGCTCAAAAAGCTCGTCGTCGCCAGCCAGGCCCTCAACCAGGCGCCAGAGAAGGGTATGCCGCGCCCCGCACCGCACTGCTCTTGACTTGCCTCGCACAAAGCGCCCGTCTAACCATGAGTGCGCAGAGTTCATTGCCGCATACAATCTGCTCATCCACCTCGTAAACCAGTCGCCCAATGTCTCCATGTTCCTGCCCAAGATGTGCCAGAATCTCAGCGCCCCCATCTCGTCGTCGCCCTACAACGGCGGCGGCCTCGCCCTGTCCATCCTAAGCACCATCTTCAACACAATACAGCCCACCAGCGAGGCCCGTTACCAGGTCCTGCTCGCCATCCTCCGTGTCATCCGCGCCACCTCCAACTTTGAGACGCTGCGCCCCCAGCTCAAGCACCTCGACACCTGGCTCCTTGAGTGGAAGACACCCGACGACGACGCCCGTAAGCTCTACCTGGCCGTCAGCGATGTCGCCGCCGACGCTGGTGAGACGGAGCAGGCATACACATATCTGCTACGCGCACTGCGCACCTTTTCCTCAGACCAGGCCTCGTCGCCCGATGCCCGTGACCTCTCGCTCCGTGCGCTCAAGTCGGCACTCACCCACCCCCACCACTTTGACTTCCAGGACCTCACCGATCTCGACTCAATCCAGGCCCTGCGCAACTCGGACCCCGTCCACTTCCAGCTACTTGAGATCTTCAACTCAGACCTACTCGACGACTTCAACGACTTCAAGGACGAGCATGACGGCTGGGTCGAAGAGTCTGGCCTTGACGGAACCGCCCTCAACCGCAAGATGCGCCTGCTCACCCTTGCCTCCATGGCCGCCTCGGCCGGCCAGACACGGTCGCTTCCCTACGAAAAGATTGCAAAAGGCCTACAGGTGCCCCTGGAAGACGTGGAAATGTGGGTCATTGACGTGATTCGTGCCGGCCTCGTCGAGGGCAAGCTCAGCCAGCTTAACCAGACGTTCCTCATCCACCGCTCCACATACCGAGTCTTTGGCGACAACCAGTGGCGGGAGGTGGCTTCAAGATTAGACCTGTGGCGCAACAGTCTGCAGGGTGTCTTGCAGGTCATCCAGCAGGAGAAGCAGAGGTTCCTCCAGGAAAAGGAGGATGAGGCCAACAAGGCTGACCAAAAGGCTGACATGGCCTCGAGGTTTGGCGGCCGGGGCGGCCAGCGGAAGCAGCAGAGGGCTATTGATGAGGATTTGGACTAAGCAAAACGTGGTGTCTTAGGCAGGCGTGTGTTTGTTTCTTTGGCAAAAACAGGAGCGTGGGCTAGGGACGGCATTAGATGCATTACAAAGCCAGGCTTTTCCACCTTTATGAATCGCAGCCTTGGAGCTGCGCAGGATAGATATTGCAATTCACATATATTGACTCTCCATCTTTGTCTACTACGTCCAATTATCAAGCTTGTGTCTGCGTAATCTAGCGGCTGATGGGCTCCACACCGCGCTCCTTGAGTTTTGCCTGCACATCCCTGTACACGGCATCGGGTTCCTGCTCAGCATTGACCTTGACGACCCTGCCCTGAGATTCGAACTCGTTCACCACCGGCATGCTCGTCTCGACAAAAGTCCTGAACCGCTTCCTAATGCTCTCTGGGTTGTCGTCTGCCCGGCCCGAAGTCTCGCCCCGGTGCAGAAGTCGCTTCTCCATGACACCCTCGGAGCACTCGAAAAAGAGGGTAAACTTGGACGGGCACACCGCACGCTCAAATGCATGGGCCTGGTCAAGCTTGCGTGGGAATCCTATAATCATTGAAACAAATTTGGTGAGAATTGTGGACCGATATTGCACGAGTACAAGAGCGCAACTTGGGGACTGGAATTGTACCTACCATCAATCAAAAACAGCTTCTTGTCGTTCTCGCCACTCTCCATGCTACTCCGCATGGCGTTCTCGAGCAGCTTTACCGTCACCTCCATAGGTACAATAGTACCTTCCTTGATGTACGTCTTGATCATCTCGCCAAACTGGCTGCCTTCTCGATCCTGCTCCTCGCGCAGCAGGTCACCAGCAGAAAGATGCTTGAAACCGTAGTCGTTGACAAGCTTCTGGCACTGCGTGCCCTTTCCAGCACCAGGACCACCGAGGACAAAGAGCACTGTTACATCGTCCTTGGACCACAGAGGAGAGGTACGCGCGCCAATGTCGGTCTGTTCAATGGCAGGCATCTTTGCTATGTTTGTCTGACTGGCTAATGAGGATGCGAAGGCCGTACTTGTCCCTTACCACTTGGTGAATGGCCTTGAATGGGTCCTTTTGGTTGGTAGCCTTCACCCTTGCGGTCGTCGACTATCTTCTTGAACAAAAACGTGCCTGTTGCGAAGATGGCAACAATGGGCCAGACCTTGAGGGGCGACTTGGATGACGGGGCAGAGATGTGGGCTGGAGGCTCGTTGGGGCCTGTGGGTTCGCCTGGCTGGCGGAGGCGGGATGCGTACGGTCGGGAGGTGCTCAAGGCACGGCTGGCAAGGAATTGAGGTTGGCGGAAGAGGATACGTGGGCGGAAGAGTGAACAAGACATGGTGTTTGACGGGGGCGGTATGATAGCACGGGCGATTGAGGTGCAGCTGCTGTTTTCATTAATCCCGAGCGGGGCTAGCGTCGGCGTGCGATCCAGTTCTCAAGGTGGGGGGCGTCCAGGCTGGCAACCCTCAACTCCACTTTACCTCACCGTCAATACACTTACGGGCGGCATGTTTGATTGAGCACTCGCTCCGAATTGATTAAATTTACTGGATTCGACTAACCTACCTTACACAACTAACCCGAACCAAAACAGCTCAACACCTGTGACTCTCTGTTTCTCTCTCTCACGTAGACACGTCCCAGATGTCGCCAGTCACAACAATATCGCCTAGTCTCTACTCTCGTGCCTATAGACCCGCAATCTATCCACCAAAGCAGCTGCGGGGTTTCTTGGCCCTACCAGGCGAAATCAGAAACCAAATCTACAAGTACTACTTCGACCGGGAGCATCACTGTGAAGTAGCCGCAAAAGGCAGTCAGTTCAAACAACGGAAACCCCAGACGATCAAGCTATGCTTGGGAATCTCTTCTCAGAAAGAGGGGGCCCTTCTCTCTGGTTCAGAATCTGACAATTCTCTTGCTCCGTCCGTTGTGCGCTTCTCCAGATCATTGGGTAAGTATATTATGGTACATGGCCTACAGACCAACTGGCTCAGCTCGCTGTACGCCCTAAGTCTGGTATGCAAACAGGTCCACCTGGAGACGACCAAATTTCTCTACTGCAAAACTGTCTTCATATTCGATGCGCCGAAGAGAATGAATAGCTTCTTCGGCGTCGTGTCAAGCACCAGTCTGCAAAATATAACAAAGTTGCATCTCCACTACAACACATATGGACATCCTCAGCGGACCGATCATCAAGTCTGGCAGGACAAGCACACGCATAGTTGGTGAGTGGGATACAATGCTGCGATTGCCTCAAGACATGTTTTTTCCTTCTTCCTTTTCCCGTTCTTTTTCTCTCTCTGAGCGTTTTGTGCAACGACTGTAAGAAATAACTTACCAACCATGTTTCTCTGTCGTTTCTCTAGGTCCAAAGCATGCAAGACAGCCTCGAAGAAACTCATCAATCTTCAACAGCTACAAATTTGGGTTCAGCTTCACGATAGTGCCCCCAAGTTTAGTTTGCGAGAGAAATGGATAAAGCCACTGTTGCAGTTTCGCAGACTGACGAGTGGAAAGACACGTACGAATGACCACATTGGGAATGCCGTATTGCTTGAAACAGTCACAATTCACATCCAGACTCGCTGGTCCAAGGAACCACTGGCGGTGTTTTTGAACAACCAGCGTCTGGCGCGGGCAAGTACGGAGCTGCATGTACTGTATGGCCAAGCCGTCAGTCTGGCAATCAAGGGGGCCAGGGAAGAAGAAGCCATGGCCGCTTTCAATGCTGCGTGGGAAGGAAAGTACAAGCATTGGAAGCATCATCTTCAATTTGCTCCGACTGGCTGGTAAAGTGGGAAACTTCTCGACGGAAGCTGTAGTCAGCCACACGGGGGATCCCCATGGTTGTCTCAAGGAAAAGGTTTACAAAACGGAGGGTTGGACCTGTCATGATTCCACATAACGATATCAATGCAAATGCGAAACCCAAATTACTGATGCGCAGTCACGTTGTAGATTGGTTTGCTGGATGTTGTCTGGAGAAAGGGTATTTGGTGAAGATCAAACAACGACAGACCGCGTGTATGATTGTGTATTCTTGGATGTAGCCGGCGAGATTATGCACTCGGTTTCTCTCTTGCAGCCTCGTCATCCACCTTGTCTGCCTCCTTTGCCACGTCTTGCTCATCCACCTCTGGTGGAAAGTCCCCAGGCACGATGCCAAAGACACCAACCTCGCTCCTGCCCATGCCACCGCCACTCTTGTCTGTCTCGTCGCTCTCCTTGAGCACAAAAGTGCCCGGCTGCTTCTTCATGGCCTCTTCGTCAAAGTCAAACACACGGTAGTCGGCATTGAAAAACATGCGGTTACATATGGCGGTGCGCAGGAAGCCAGAGTGCGAAACTACAGCAATCACCTTTTCCGGCCGTGAATATAGATCCTCGAGGCATCGTTGGCCGCGCGCCACAATGGCCTTTTCGGTAAAAGCATACGGGTTCTTGGGGCCGTTTGTCGTCTTGTCTGGAAATGAGGGGTCGACGACGGAGAAGTCGTACTGCGGGAACTCCTTGGAAATGACGTCGAGGGGGGTCCCCGTATCGCAGGGCTTGTCTGCGTTTTCTTGCCAGTTTGCGTCGGGAATGACTGTGATGAGGCTCTATTAGCCATTACTCGCTCTGGTTCACCATTCCCCAATGCTCGTCTTACCCTTTGTGCCCTTTTTGATGAGCCAGTCGAGTCCAATGGTGGCGGTTTGGAGCGTTCTTCTTTGTGCACTCACGACAATGAGCTCAATTTGGTTGCCAATTTCGTTCTGCTTCAGATGCTCGTGCAGCTCGCGGCATTGCTGTTCACCGAGCTCGGTTAGTGGAGGGTCACGTATCGACCAGTCGTTGGTAGCGTTGTGCTGGGCCTGGGCGTGGCGGATGAGGACAAGCTTTGGGGCCATGGTGGGCAGACTGCAGACGAATTGCGAGTATGGGGCCTGGATACAAGCGGATATGGGCGACGCAGCAATGTTATAAAGGAAGGCCAGGGCGGATTGTTGTTGAGACGAGTTTGCAATGACGCGCTAGTGGGGCCGACGTACCTGCATCTCGATGACGCGGGTGCTGCTAACTGTCACTCCACAAGTGGAAGGGCAAGACGAAGCGAAGCACAGCATGGGAAGCAAGCGGGCCGCATGCATACATGGCCGCAATGCTTTGCTAGTGTGAATCTTGTTCATTGATCGTTAAGGCTTGTGCAAAAGCCGCTCGTTACGCATCGTCAGGGTCTGTACTTTTATCCACTGGCTCGACTCGAGCAGCCATTCATTTACTCTTCCATCTTCTCCTCCTCCTCGTCATCGTCATCATCCCCCTCGAGCGCCTTCTTTGCAAGCCTCTCAGCCTCTTCCCGAATGTCCTTGGGCACTTCCTCATGTCTACCCTTGGTCGGTCCGTCGAGATTGCTGATCCACGTCATCTCAAGCTCAAATTCCTTGTCCTTGTTGTCATCGTGTGCGACGTAGATGATGCGCGCTGCCTCCTTGACGCCTTCTTCTAATGAAAGCTGGCCCTCGTGCAGATTCAACTTCTCGAGCTCCGACTTTGCAACCTGGCGGCCCTTGCCTGTAGCTGCACCGTAGTATCCCTGGACCGATTAGTCATTGTATACATATTGTCTAGTCATTTTGCGTACCCAGTAGAGGCCACTCGGCTCAATCATGTAGAGAGATGGGCCGCCGTGCTTGGCGCCCTCTCTCTTGCCTCCCGAGCCAACAGAAGGACCCGAGCCAACTTGTCCGTCGACGGGCAACTCGGCCTCGGAATCCCAGCCGGCAATAATGGCCGTTATGCCGAATGGCCGTACACTCGAGTAAAGCGTGTATGCCTGAACGTAGCTTCCCATGCGGTCGGCGAGAGACGAGGAAGGAATGGGGGCCTTGTAGAGCTGCCGCCATTGCGCCGCCTCGTCACGGGCTCGGGAGACGAAGTGGCGACCGTCGGGGAGGAGACCAGAAGACACGACGCCCATGTTGCGGTCGACGGTTGCTATGCGCTTGTTGGCGCCAGGCTTGATCAGCTTGCTGCTGACAAGCTTCTCGAGAGCGAGCACAACACCATCCTTGCACCTGATGCCCAGAGCTGTGCCGCCGTTCTCTACCGCCTTGACTGCATACTCGACCTGGAAATTGCGACCGTCGGGCGAGAAGACCGAGTTGGACAGGTCATAGCCTGTGCCTATTGACGTCTGCAGCAATGTCAGTTTGCCTCCTGGGTGCGTGTCGAGCGGGCGGGGGGCTGTTTACCATGGTGGAGGAAGTGGGTGGTTATGACGGTCGTGTGTAATTGGTGTCGTGTTCAAGTCGTGCTCAAACAGCCACTCTGCTTGTGCAGTGGGTACAATTCGAGTGCTGGATTGGACGATGTCGGGAGCTGTGCTTGCCCGGTGGTGTTGGTGATGCTTGTAGTACCAGGCAATAGGCAATAGGCAATGGTGTATCTGCGCAAGCTCCAACAGCTCACCACTAGCGTGCCAAGGAGACCCCCGGCCCCGACACGCTACCTACATAGTCCTCACTATAAGAGCAGAGCAGCACAGCCAGGGCCAACGTATTAGTGTCTAGTGTACGTTGCAACCACTTCTGCAAATATATATATAGTCGCCCTGCTGAGTTAGCTGGTGCACATGCTTGTGCCATTCTGACATGACTGTAGCGACCAGGTACGTACGTACGGCGGTGCAAAGTCACGTGCAGGCCGTGCTTTGATCCCCGGCTTCTTCCGCCGGAACCCCTCCAATGGCGGGCGAGTGGGCGACGTCGAGCGGTGCATACGCCTGTAAAGACGTGATGAGTTGTCGCCCCAAACCGACGACTATTCACAGGCTTCAGATGCACTCGATTGGCTGTCCACCGGCTAGCCGAACAGGTTGGGTTTCAACGCGTCGACACTAATTGGACTGTGGGCGACAAATTTCCCAGAATCATCCCGCCTTCACGCATGACCCGACAGCGCGCTACACTGGACGGTATGTACTTAAGGGACCACGGCCACCACCACGTTGCTGCCAACTGCTCCCCCCTTGCTCCCCCTCCCTCCCTTGACTGCTGAACCGACTCGAGTTTGTTGATCTGGATCTTGTTCCTGTGTTTGTTTCCCACTCACGCGCCTACTGTGCCAGTACTCATCAGCGCCCAACGCTCACGCTCAAGAACTGCGGCTTGACACAACACACAGCCTAGCAACAGACATCAGGGTCCGTTGTTTACTTCCTTTCCACTTGTCCACTAGCTTGCTCCGCCTACTCCTCACTCCTTCGTTCCATCTCCATTGCTCAACTGCCGTTTTCTACACCATTACCCCTCCTCAGATCCCGACTTGCTCTCGAAACCCCGACACAGAGATGCAACCAATGCTCCTTCACCACTGCTCTTGCTCCTACGACACGCCTGTCTCGTTCAGTCCTTTTGCTTTTTCCCAAAACATCTCTTGCTCTCACGTAAGCCGCCAACGCTCTGGCACTTACAATCAACATCCACTAACCCTACGTCATAGTGTGGCGTAATTTCCACCGGCATCAACGTGCAGCCCAAGGCTGAACAAGACGCAAACATGCAGCAAGACGAGCTGACTAGGCTGTTCTCGGCCAACATGACCCTTTCACAAACCCAAGTGCAACCACCTCTCCTCGAGCCAGTACAGCAACCAGAGCCAGAGCCCGCCCCAAAGAACATCGTCTACGCTTCACAGCATTACACACACTCGCATCATGTCCCTCTTCGCAGTGCTTCAGAGCCGAGTCTGAAGACGCAAATCAATGAGTCGGATCTGGAAGCTGTACTTCTGAGAAACAGCATAGATCCCTCTCTGCTCTTTCCTTCTCAGATTGATCTCTTCAAGAACGCAGACGACGACCAGCGCCTGCGTCTCCTCGAGCTATGGCGCATCTCGCCCCCCTCAGGACGCCAGGGACACCCAGCAGGCACTGACTACAACATGTCGAGGCAGCTTTACGACTGGCCCCCTACCAGCCTGGCGCAAGAAGAAGCAATGGCCAAGCTAAGATATGAGAGGCAGCAAGCCGAGGATGCTGCTCAGCAGAACGCAATGCAGCAGCAAGAATCAGAGCAGGCCATGGCCGCAGCAAACGCCGAACCATACATGTCTTCAGGTTATGAGATGATGGCAATGCGCGAGTATGAAGAGTCGGCACGAGCTCAGCAGGCTCTCAAGGAGGCCAACAGATACAATCAAGCCACTGATCCGGTATACAATACTGGCAATGGCCTCTGGCAGAAGCACGTGGGAAGCGTCATCGACATGGAGAACAATTACGGAGCGTATGCATTTGCACGTGAGTATGGTTTACGCGGTGGCTATGGAGACGAAGAGATGGTCATGTGATGTATAGCAGTCTTGGTTGATTGCAGTCTCATGGCGCGTGGAAAGCTTGGGTAAATTGGTAGGGCATTTTGTTATACAGGCGATGCATACTTGCACACACAGCATTCTTATGTTAGTTTGTTGGGCGTGCACACATACACGCATACATGGTATGTACTTGGCGGGTTATGAAAGAGATAGATTTCGTCAGAAGGATACCCAATCAGCAATTGTTTTTTTTTTCATCTTGATCAGACTTCGAGCCAGCTTTAGCCCATGTGTTGTTGCGCTAATGGAATGGATTGGATTCATACATTGTACATATGGGTGTTGAAAAAAAAAAGATTTGAAGCTGCCCACGAACACTCAAACACGGACAGACTTATTTTGCCTTGCCACTCGGCCACTTCTTCCAGCCCCTGCCATGTCCCTTTTGCTTCCATTCCTGAATCAAGGCAGGCATGTTCAGCATAGCCTGTCGCCTCATCTCTAGGCGGCCCTTGAGCGTTCGTTCCCACAGCTTTCCCTTGACCTTTTGTCCCTCGCCCGTGCCCTTGACTTGCAAACCCCTATCCACCCTCTGTCGCTCCTTCTCACCCGGCTTTTTGATGGTCCATGGTAGTAGATCGACAACACCGTGCTCAGAAGCAAGCTTCACCAGGTCGGCCTGCTTGCGCAGTCCATAGGCGGGGCTCTGCCATCGTCCGGTTGCGAAGTTCTTGTGTGGGAGGAAAGGGTTTGGGTAGGGAAGTTTGTGCGCTTCTGGCGGTATGTTTGAGTTTTGGGGTGCGCTCGAGGGTATTGGAGTGTTATTTGGTGCCGCCATCTCGCTAATTGAGGCATTGGGGTCGGTGGGCGGGGTGGTTGATGTTGTGTTGGCTGCCGGTTGCGATGGATTTGGAAGTGGGGATGCGAGGTAAGGGAACAACGCAGGCGGAGGGTACTTTTGGAAGAAGCGCAGCAGGCGCGGCGGCAATGATTTTGCAATTTCGACCGTCTTTGGGGCGCTCATCTTGTGTGGATTGCGTGTTTGCGATCAAGATGCGGGCATGCAGGCGTGGAGATCAAAAGTTCCCAGTGCCAAGGCGGGTTTAAGCTGCGAAGTAGCCTTGCCTTGTCCTAGGGTGGAGCTTGCTCGCGCCGCCGCGTACTGAGCTGCTACCTGGGTGCATCACAACCACTGCCAACACCACCTTTGCTTGATTCTAGATTTACGGCCGAATACAAATCCCCTGCTCTTATTGCTGCAGCTATCTCTGCTGTCTCGCCAGATATCACATCACTCCTGCAGCCATGGTAAGCTCCCCGCATTCGTCTGGACATGGACACAGCTAATCGCAATAGTCGTCGCCATTCTCCATAAGTACGCTTCTTATACAACCGCAATACCACATGCCCATCTAACAATTCCAATAGACGGCGGCGCCTGCGTGGCAATGGTGGGCAAGGACTGCGTGGCCATTGCCTGCGACCTCCGCCTCGGCATGCAGGCCCTCACCGTGTCCAACAACTTCCCTAAGATCTTCCAATACGGCGACGTTTTCCTTGGGCTGACGGGTCTCGCCACCGATGTTTCGACCGTATCCGACTTGTTTCGTTACAAGGTCAATATGTACCGTCTTCGCGAAGAACGCAACATCAGCCCACAGACCATGGCCAACCTCGTCAGCTCAAGTCTGTACGAGAGGCGCTTTGGCCCATACTTCATCAGCCCGGTGATTGCAGGTATCAACCAGACGAGCGGGAAGCCTTTCATCTGCGGTTTCGACAGCATTGGGTGCATCGACTTTGCAAAGGACTTCATCGTAAGCGGAACAGCGAGCGACCAGCTGTTTGGAACATGTGAGGGGCTGTGGGAGCCAGATCTGGTGGGTTCTTCAGCGCCACTCTTGCCCTGAATCATGTATTAATGTTCAATCTAGGGCCCAGAGGACCTGTTCGAGACCATTTCACAGGCGCTACTCAACGCCGTCGACCGTGACGCACTTTCCGGTTGGGGCGCACACGTTTACATTATCGAAAAGGACAAGGTGACGAAGCGGTTACTCAAGGGCAGGCAGGATTGAGAGGGTGCGTAGCATATGATGGCATACAAATGATCTTATGAGCTATGACGCACGCCAGAGCACCAGAGGTAGGGCCAAGGACTGTGACTGGAAGATGTGAGACTGCATGCACGGATAGTAATTGCACTCTCTCAGTTGCTTTCATCTCGTATTAGTGGAAGAACAGAGATAGCTCCGTAATCAACAAGGTGTCTCCAGTAGACGAAGTCACAAGGCAGCGTGACCCTGACTACGAAGCTGGAGTATAGAGTGACAAGCTATGAGTGAATGCCATTGGGTCTGAGTAACTGTTTTGCTATGCTCTTCGTCACATCCACATCACAGGCGGGCCTTGTGGCTCCCGATGAGGGCGGGTCTTATCGATAGCGAGGACACGTGATTGGGCGCTTGGTCTAGTACGTGTGTACGATAGTAGTTAAGGTGGCCGAGCAGGTGGCAACGCTACAACAGCAGTGGCAGCAGCAAAGCAGCAAGCTAGTAGTTCGAGTATGAAGAGGTAGGCTCCAATGAACTGTTGCAGGACGAATAAGAGTATTCAGATATGGTTTCGAAGAGAAAAACTGAAATACATGACAAGATCGAGAATCGTGGTTATAAGAGGAGCATCCTTGATCTGAATTGTCCTCAGCTAAGCTAGTTGGTATGCTTACTATTACTGCCTCTCGAATATCAATGTACTTTCTTAGAAAAAGTAGCCAGGGTTTTATTTTCACATATAATATGTATGTGATATGTTTATTGATGCTAATATGTTTGTACGTTGTGCTTTGAGTGGTGCAACTGAACATGTTCATGACATCTTCCTTTTCCATAATATCACAGCTATGCTTCGCTCAATGTCGCTACTCGCACCCCCTTGACAATCAAGTGACGAGAAAGAAGAATAAAAGAAATAGCCTACCACCCCACATCCCTACAAGCCTTCCTAGGCTCTGACTTGAAATTACAATATGAGTATATAATCGAATCGACCAGAAATACAAGAAAACTCGGACGACGGTGTCTAGGGGTATATGTATACATGAGTCCATACATTTCCATCTTTTGATCTGTTCCCATAAACGCCAGTTCAGAGCATGCAAAAACAACAACAGAAAAAAAAATCATTCAATGTTGAACTTGTCCATTTCCAAATCAATCCAACTCGCCCTCTTGACCCGGCGCCTCTTACTGCGCCGCTCTGTAGCCTCATCACGCGTCTCCCACCCATCCTGATCGGCTCTGTTAGATGCCTGCAGCTCAGGATGCGTCAGGTTAGAATTGAGACGGCGCGGGTCCACAAAATCAGGGTACTGTTGGTTGCCAAAGTCGTACATGAGCGGGCTGCTTGTGGGCCCGTTGGCGCGGCGCGCAGTGTCTGGGCGGTTGGCACTGGTGTTGGTGCTACTTGACTTCTCTAGGGTAAGGGTGTTGCGGCGCTCGAGGGTGCATGTTCCGGTACAATTCACGTTTTGGAAGTTGGAGCTGTTGTTGCGATGGTTGGCGTATGCGGCAGGGCTGGAGAAGGGATTGGCATTGAGACTAGGGTCAGATTCTGTGCGATCGCGCACAAGCTGGATCAGTTTGCCGAGAACAGCGAATTCCAGTTTTAACTTGACAGAGTATACGACACCCTTGAGCGTTGTCTGGATAAGATATTGATTTGCAAATTCCATGGATAGCAGAGCGAGATCTAGGATGATGATCAAGACGTTGATGGCGAGAAGCTGGTACATTGTTTTCCGGACACTGGCCTGCCTGAGCTGGCCAATGGTGGCGCCGTCATCAAAGCTGCGCGTATCGCCTTGGACGGACTGAGAGAGCCTGAGCAGCCTGATTGTCTCTTTGATGTAGATGATGGACAAGATTGTCTCCTGCAAAAAGAAGCCCAACATCTGTGTCTTTTCCATGATAGAGTAGGCGCGGACGAAGCGGGCCAAGGTAGCGGGCGAGAGGGTATTCGAGTTTGAGCCAAAGGTCAGAACCGTGGTGATCGAGTGCAGTAGAATGCCATTGCAGATGATCATGTACAGAGTCCAGCGGAGGGTGCGGCGCGAGTTGGTGACGAGGTGCAGGCGCGACCACAAGACGACGGATTGACCTGCATGCAAAGTTGAGTGTCAGTCTCGATGCAGGTTCTCTACTTGGTGGTGGCCGCGCGAAGCGGCAGCATACATACCCGTGACCATGGTATACCAGCCGATGGTGAGAAAAACAATGGCCACATATCCGACATTAGCGTTTGGGTCGAGCAGACGGAAGAACTTGATGATGAAGCCCAGTGAATATGGTATGATGCCAAAGGCGCTGATGACGAGCGACCAGAAGTAAAGTCCATGGTAGTGCTGGAAGGTGACAAAGGCGAGGATGATGAGCTCAAGGGCATTGTAGAGGGCGAGGCCTAGAAAGAAGGCAATGATGATTTTGAGAGGAACCGAGTTGCCCGTGTAGCCTGTGGTACCGTGGTAAGGTTGGAGTTTGTGGCTTGGTAGCGAAGGGACTGACCTCCAGTTATGCCCGCACCGGCGGACTCGAGCGAGCCCTGTGCCGGTGTCGTCTCGGCGGCAAGAGCAGCAGACGTTGCACTGGCCGGTAGGGAGCGGGAGAGGGAAAGGGAAAGGGAGAGGGAGAGCGAGGCCATGGCGAGGCTTCAACTCACCCAACACCGACGCTTCTTGGTCAATCCAACATTGATGACGGCAACAATAACAACAACAATGTCAGCAAGACGACAGTCAGTCAGAGGCGGCGGATGGCACGCCACGAGCGAAGAACAGACCCACGTCAATGCGTCCGACATGGCTACGGCTGATGGGGCGCGAACGAGGGCAAAGCAAAACGGGCCGTTTGGAAGTGGACTTGATTAAGGACAAGCCCTGTTGGTGAAGTGAACAGGGCGGGGATGTGTGCCGAGCACGAGCATAGGCATACGTAAGTCGGTGCATGCATGGGAGTTAAGTAGTACTGAATACACTACCTATACTATGTATCATTAGTTAAATACATAACGGTATACTAATGTACCGTGTATGTATGCATCTCGTCTGCCCTTGATTCGCGGGCAAAGCTGCCCAACCCGACCAAGCCAGACATTGCCCCCCTCAGTCTAGCCGTTTGGAGACTAGCGCAGTAGAGTCCGGGGTAGATCCACTCTGCCATTGTCATTGTGATTGCAATCGGCTCGGCCATCCAAAGCTTGTCACCACCCACCACTTCCCCGTGCCACCATCACGCGACATGCCATTTGTTGCGCATACGCATCCACACTCAAACACAAGCACTCCATACCCCACTACATGAAAAGGGGTCATTGCCTTTGTCCCTGCGTCTCCATCCCTTCATCTCTATGTGATGTGCCTGCTCGCCATCTCACCCTTCTTGTTGCCTTTTTGCTGCGCTAACGGGTGGTTGCGCAACTCTTCAGGCAATCTGCTGATCTCGCTCTTTGAGATAATCTTCTTGAGCTCGTAGAGCACTTCGGCGTCTGCTTTGCCCCAGAAGGTAATTGCTACACCATGCTTGTCCGCTCCCAGACGACCCGTACGACCAATGCGGTGTGTGTAAGCTTCGATGGTTGACGCCATGGTGAAATTGACCACCAAAGATACGCCGTCAATGTCGAGACCACGACCCGCCAAATCAGTCGCAACCATGACGCTCGACTTTCCAGACTTGAGCGACGCAAGCGCTGCTTCACGTTGTTCCTGCGTCTTTGACCCATGCAGCGTCGTCGCTGAGAATCCCATCCGCTGAATGTCGCGAGCCAGGGCATCGCAGCCGCGCTTGTTGTTGTTGAAGACAATGATGGGCGGTTTGAACTGGCCAGACGTGAGAATCTCCTGTAGCCGTCTCTTCCGATTGTCTTCTCCCTCGATCAACTCTGCTCGCTGAATAACCGTGTCAGTCGCCTCGTTCTGGTTGCCCACCGTCACCATGGCAGGACGACGCAGGTACTGTGTCGCAATTCGTTCAAGCGCCGGCGCCATAGTGGCCGTGTACATCATCGTCTGACGGTACATGCCCCTCCGCATGACATCGCCATCTTCGGCGCTATTGTCGTCGGGCTTCTCATTGTTGACGGGCAGCGCCTCGAGAATCTTGTTGACTGGCTCTTCGAAACCCATGTCAATCATCTTGTCTGCCTCGTCCATGATGACATAGGTGCATTGGTTGAGAACCAGCAAGTGTCGCTCAAGGCAGTCTACCAGACGACCGGGCGTGGCAATGACGACTTCAGCACCGTCACGCATCTGGAATGCTTGCTCTTCAATCTGATGACCACCAACAAGGACTGCAGTATTGAAGCCTAGTGGCGCCGCAAACTTGCGCGTCTCCGCCTCGATTTGCTGTGCCAATTCACGCGTTGGAGCCAGGATGAGGGCATAAGGGCCGTCGTTGAGATTAGCTGCCGTCAGACGAGGCAGCTGCATGATGTAGGCCAGTAGCGGCAGGACAAAGGCAGCAGTCTTACCCGAACCGGTCCTGGCCACGCCAATGAGGTCGCGACATTGCAGAGCAATGGGTATGGCCGCACGTTGGATAGGCGAAGGCTCCACGTACCCAACCTGGTTGATAATGTGCATGAGCTCGTCTGGCAGCCCCGACTCGCCCCAGTTGCGCATGGGATTCGGTATTGCGCCTCCCTTGGTCGTAATGCCGAACTCCTCTTTGAAGATGCGCCAATCGCGTTCACGCATATACTCCAGCTTCTTCTCACTCCAGTGCTTGTCGAGTTGCGCGCGGCCACCCTGTTGTTGCCGCCGCCTGTCCATATCTAATAGTTGCTGTGCTCTCTCTTGACCGTGCACGGGATCCTCCTTGGCAATCATCTGAGCATACATCTGTGTTGCCTTGGTCTTGACATCGTCATGAAAACCACCTTGTATGCCCCGACCAACGATCCTACCATTGGCGCTTGATTGGGGGATGAGTTGGGATTGATGAGATGTGTCTTCTGAGGAGTCCCACTCGAAATTGAACTTCTTCTCCGTAGTCCTCTGGCGTTTCTTAACGGCCGAAAACGTCGACTTGTTTGCTTCGGGGCCCAGGTAACGCTCTCGAATCATAATGGCTTCTATGTCCTCGGCGGGTCGCTTGCTCTTTCGATTCTCGGATGGTGGTGGCGGTGGTGGCGCCATGTCACCTCTGCGATCTCGCATAGACGACGGCTCGGTGGGCGCGTCTCGCATCACTCGTGGGCCTACAGGTATGGATGGTGCGCCGTTCTGTGAAGACCCGTCCTGTGAGGGCTTCCATATTCGGTCGTCGCCGCTGCTGGCCTCTCGCCTCTTTTGTGCCTCTTCCACTTCCTTCTTGCGCTTTTCGAGCGCGATCCGTTCCCGCTCAGCCTTTGGAATGTATCGCGGTTTTGCGGAGGCGGCTTGCTTCTCACGGTGGTCTCGTAGAATGTCGTCAACGCTTGGAGGCTGCTTGCGTGGTGTAGCAGAAGGCGCCATCGTGTTGGTGGTGGTGGTGATGATGATTTATGAATGTGTAAAATGTGACGTTAAAGTTACTGAAGTTTCGAGGTCAGTTGGAGGAGCTTAAGTATGCTCTGTGTACGCTAGTGCCATAGATTACGGAAATCGCACCCATAGTTGAGAGAAATCGCACCCATAGTTGAGAGAAATCGCGCCTATGGATTAGGGGATTGCGCCCATGGGTGAAGGGAGTCGCGGCTGTGCTTATCTGGATAGGGATAGGAAACGGAAGGGCCGCTCGGTTGGAGCTCCGTTTTGTAAGGTAGTAGCGTCCGGGTCACGTGATAGTCACGTAATGTGCTGGATCTACCAGTAGTTAGCTGTCCTGCTGCCTTCATATAATAGTATTATATTTAGTTGTCGTACCTAATAGAGGTTTGCCTGATAGGCATAGCAGGAATTCGGTCTGTAAAAGTATAAGGCAAGGTTGAGTGTTTGAATCTCTTGGAGATCCAGCCTATATACTGTTGGCGCTAAGCTACCATACACATGGGAAAGTACCGCCACATTGGTGGTGACTCCTGGAATACTGAGAATTGCACCTTCTCATAAATTCGTCCGACTGTGAGTGACGGGAGTCGCGCCATGGTGTTACACGGGGTGTGGATGCTTACGGTACGTATGATCCTTCAAGACTAATTAAGAGTGCATACCGTTCTACTTTGCTTTTTATGCAAATACATTATGAGATGGAGTTATTGAAGTTGCCGCAAAACTTTCCCGAAAAGTATTGCACACCGACGTGTCTAGCCTACAAACTTTATAAAAGAACCATCTTTTGTTTCCTCCAACGATTGAGCTCTCTTCTTCCAGTCAATCAGGAAGGCTTCTGGATATTTCCGGGTCCTCACCTTTTCAGAAAGTGTAGGATGCATCTTTAACACCGCGCAGGCAGCTTGAAGATACACTTCCTCAAAGTTTGACCAAACCAGTTTCTCCTTCTCACCCGATGTGGCTGGGTTTGGAAAGTAAGGATCATTCCCCGTGACCGCTGTGACCATTCGTCCCCGAGCTTTCTTCCAGTCATTGAAGTCGAGCTTACTAGTTTTGTCAAAGTCCAGCATCCATAGATGAGTCGGACGCCGAGCCATGTTTCTAACAGGAACGCTAAAGGGGTTGATCTTCTCAAAGTTTTCGATAAGAGGAAAAACTTCCAGATCATTGGCGACACTTCCTAAACCAAATTCCATGTCCATACCATCGAGCCCCACTCTCCAGTGTATGATAGCCAGCCCAATCGCCATTTCTCGAGAGAATTGTGCTATATCCAAACCTATCTCTTCCATCTGGTCTAGATGTAGCGGGAAGTTTTGTAGAGTTTCAGCAGGGTGCTTCAACTCGTGATCGGTTCGCCTCATTCCAAGGTATGGTCGGATCAAGCAAGTCCTATTGCTAGGATCTCTGAGGGAGATATCTTGGAACTCCCTGGGAAAATACTTTCTGATAAGTGCTGTGCGTGTGGCTTCCGGAAGCGGCGAGATGCGCTCCACGTAAAACAAGAATCCAATCTCGTTGTCATCATCAGGGAACTGTGATCTGTTGATGTACCACCACTTTTCCAACTCTTCATCGTGCACCCATCCATGAGCTTGTGGCACAAGAGGGATCGAGGAATCTGGGAAAATACTCTCCAAATATACCTTCATTTCCATAACAGCCCGGCTTGCTTCGTGTGTGAGATTGGCATCGACCCAGAGTCCGTATTTATCCGAGCCCTTTTTGATCGCAATCTTGCTTCCAGCAACCTCAAAAACTGTACCACATGTCCCCCTCCCAATAACTGCAAAGACGGATTGATTCGAAGGCTCTAGCTTTTCTATGGGATTGGCAAAACCGCAAGAACTGGATACAGCAATTTGTGGACTGAGAGTGCGACGCAGTGTCTCATATATGATTTCCTCGGAGGAATTGCTTTCATGTATAACCATGAGTACTTGTGAGGGTGTTCAAGAATATAAAAGCTTTCTGTGCAAGTTGAAAAGGGGAAGGTAAGCGTGAACTGAGCGAAGTATTAAGGCCTAAGAAGTTCACAAATTGTTGAAGAACTCTTATAACGAATGCGGACCATATACACAGTGCTTGCTGTTGGGTCCTGCACAATACTGCAACTTCAATTCCACGAGAACAACAACCCATGGTTGAAGTTTTATGAGTCATGTGTAGGAGCCGTACCACACTGTAACCTCCTAGTTATGTTTATGTCTTATGATTTTATCCAAACGATAACCTCGCACTGCTTGTATGACTCAACTGGAGCTCTGCCATGCTGCCAATGACGAACAGCACAGCCAGGCACGCAATACCGGCTCTTTCTCTCAATATTCAAGATTGTGCTTCACACTTGGCTAGACTATGCATCTGTTGGTCTACTCCGGAATCTCAGCAACGCTTCCGTGGATTGTCAAATGCAAAGGGGGAAGTCTACTGGATCTTGATAAGTCTCATTCACCTATAATGAAGGAGGTAAGCAAGCTGGTTACGAGGGCATGTAAGACTAAGGGCATCATAACCCAGACCTTTAATTTCTCTTCTACTGCTAGAGATTTTACCATGGTTAGCGCTCTCTATTCTCTCTAGCCGAACCGCTTATCGAACAACGCAACCCGTTTTGAAAAAAGAGTATGTACCAACTCCATTGCTCCCACAAAGCCGGCAGGTGGGATTTCCATCGAATGAGCAAGTTGTTTTGTTGATATCTCTTAGTTCAAAAAAAATGTCATTCTTTTTTGACTGCCCTCTCAATTGTTGCAGGCAGCGTGGTTAAAACATAGAAATTGTAACCTGCAGCCAGAGTAACCGGAACACCTGCCCAATAGAAGATAGGGCTATCGAAGACGGAGGGTAGGTCATGTACCCACCTTGAATACGGCCAGAATGTACACAAGGTACCAATGACGTTGACTCCAGCAAGTACGCAACTGGTTCCGGTACGGCAGCCTCTCTGCAGCCAATAGGGGCCTGGCCCGATGGCCATGACGACGTTGGTAAGCATGGTCCAGTACAACCAGGCCTCGGGACCGATCAAGTAGATGGGTACGTTGACAATGGTGTAAAATACCAAGAGAAGGAAGGTGTTTAGTACAAGAGCTCGACGAAGCTGTCTTGGATTGTGCCTCGGGCTGAATAGTCCCTCATGCTCCACCGTCAACGTACGGTGGATACAGTAGACCTCTAGCAATGTCCAGACTATGAGACCTATGACCTTGGACATGACGTAAGAGTGGTAGTTGTACTTGCGTGCCTCGCACGCGAAATGGTACGCAAAAGAGCTATCGTGCGCTAGATAGAAAAGATGCATCCAGAGTGGGAAAGGGCTTTTCTTGTCTCTGAGCGTAAGGTGGACTGCGTAGAAGTATTGGGTCATGCCGACTGCCGTTGCGATTGTGAATCCCAATGAAGACGAACCATTTGCAGCATCCCTCGCATCGAGGGCAATCATGTAGCCTATGAAGTCTGCATCTCCCGGTTTAAAATTTAGCGAGGACGTAGTAGAATTGGCCGGGCTGACAAGGGAGTCCATTTCGTAGATGTGTATCTGTGTTTGCGCGGGTAAGTATTAACAACGACGCGCAAACGCCAGATGAGGGCTTTTTGCTTATTTATACGTCATGATTGATGCGCGTTAGATTTATCACCACTATTCATTGTTTGTCCGCGAAGACCGAGGATTGGATAATAGGCGAATCGGCTTCTCGGCTGTTGGGCAGTGCCGGGCTGCCAAGGTACCAATTTGTATAATAGCTACCATGCGATATGAATCATTACGTGATTATATGACCCTTTGTCCGTGATTTAAGGTCCGATATAATATACCGAAGACTATCCTATAGTCTGTAGCGTAGCGCGTCTCCACTTGAAATTAGATCCTGCAACTGACCTCGTCTCGTTCTAGACAAAAGTTCCAACATATTCTTGTTTTCGAGCTCAAAGAAACTATCTAGTAGGAGCGAATGTGTAACAGTCTCAAGGACCATGTGAGGATATTTGAAGTTGCCGTCTTATAGTATCACTGTTATCACATTGGACGTATGAAAAGAGGCTGTTCGTTCAGCTGGACGGTGTTGGAGCGTCAGAGGGCTAGTAATCCTTCGAAAGATATCCACGTTCTAATGCTATGTCACGGCCGGGGCGGCCACCAAAAGGGACAGGGTATCAAAACAGTATGGTACAAGTCTGCTATCTCGGAACTGTGGGAGGTGAGGCTAAGTACAGAATCCCAGCCAAGGCGCTATACCCAAACGGGGTAAGTAAGCCCTGGCAATGACAGCGCCATAACATGCTAACTCTCCTCTTACTTATATGTCATAGGAAAAAAAGTAATGGGTCCAATTTCTGTTCATGTAGGGTGAGGTATTATGAACTAACATCCATCATACTGTGGTATATAACACCAGCTTTGGGTCTGGGTCACTAGAAATAGAACGATACAGGCCTGGTAAGAGAGTAAGAGCCATAACATACGAGTAGGTTCTATACTGCATAGAGTCGTAATCGTCAACAATATCAGAGAATTTCTCTATGATAAACTGGGTACAGAATCATACGAAGAAGAGCCCGATCGTCACTTTAACGTTTCTACATACATACATATATATATAGGTGTAAACCTTGTACCATATACCGCAGTAGATCCTGAAGTAATATCCAGCTCAGTGTTCTTAATTGCATTGTTTCATATCAAACAGAACTACTTCAAAACCCACAAACCTAGACCATGCATACATGTTTATGAAGACGCTGGCAGACGGATATTCCCTACCTAAGGGTAAGGTAGAGAATAGTTAGTGGTTGCACAGGCCGCGGGTATAGGTTGGGTAGAGTTGCCAAGCCTTCGGGTAGAGGTAGTGGATAGGTTGTATAGACCTCGGGTTAGCTAAAGAACAATAAAGTAAAAAGGGTTTAGTACGCGTGTCAATTATAGTTACGTATCGAGCGAAGACAATTTTGAGCGGGTAGAACTATCTCTAAGTCTACTAAGTAACCCTCTATAATATTACCTAAAACCAAGTTATTCTTCTTCTCCACCTCCTCCACGTTAGCTCTAAACTTGAAAAGATCGCTGACCTCATCTAGCGGGAGCTCATCTCGATCAGCAGTATCAGTAGGTTGATCCAGTTCGTCAGTAATAGTTTGATTTGAAGCACAGGGCTTTCATAAATTATGAAAGTCCTGTACTTCTCCCATATCTACTAAGGACTAGTTCGAGCCTCGCCGAAATAGTTGGCAGCAGGATCAAAAATTAGTTTGAGGCCACTATTGACTGAAGGTTGGTCGTATGAATACTTGTAAAAGGTTTCTGAAAACTTCAGCTATTTCATATCAAGCGAGTACTATCCTACACTTACGTCGTCCACTAGTGAAGCCCTGGTCCGGTGTACCAAAGTAATTCAATCGCACGCGACCAGGATGGTTCTCGAAAAATGTCGCAGAGAATATGTATATAGCGTTGCCTGTGGAATCGCAACAGTAAGTAACTCTCCAATCGAACGTCACAGTGCAATGGCCTGCATCTCCGCAGAGGCTATAGTCCATGCAGTGTTGCTTGCCCCTAGCAATGAAGAGATCATCCCAGATGGCCATAAGCACTGCCCCGCTCATATAATTGGGGATATTATAGTTGAAGAAGTCTGCTACGCCATAGTCTCCGAGCGTGATGAGGCCGTTACTACTAGGGTTGACCCTTGTACTAAACGTCCCATAGATACAAATCTGAAATGGGAGGTCAACAGTGAAGTAACCGTCGTCGATGCTTTGAGAAGAGCTGCTGAAAGATCCAGCAATTATACGAGGTAGTGAACCATTTTGGCAGGTAGTGGGGTATTGGGCACAGTTGTTGTAGGTCGTCTCGGTAGCTTGTGCCCGCACTGTGACAGTTGGTGTGACTGTGCTGATTATACGAGAGCAAGCGCTAGAGATCTCTCAGGAGTCGCGTCCAGCAAAGATCGGTGGTGTTGCTACTGCATGCTTAACAAGACCAGCAGCAGATGCTGGGCTAGTAGAGCTAGGTGTGCTGGTGGGGTAACCACAGCGGAAGAACATGTAGGGGATACCGGAGTTGTGGAGTCGGAATCTGATCCTGTAAGCTGAGCAATCGCTGCAGAAGAGGCTGAGGCGTATACGCCAGGTGCATCCAATTGCTCGGCTGGGATGGTTACCATAGCAGGTGCGCTTCCAGTGACCGTAGCATTATCTACCTTTTCAGGGTAGACGGCGACGACAGCTTCGAGAATAGCACCTGATTCCCCATCAAGCTTGGCAGGAGCAGTGGAAGCGCCGCAGGCCTCAATGGTGGTGGTGCTAGTGTAGCTTGTAATAGTGCTTGTTGCAGGCACAACGTATGAGTTGAAAGATGTACAGAAAGCGCCAGCATCGGCATGACCTCGAAAGCCTATCAATATGGGCTGGACAGACCGGGGTAGTGACATCAGTGGCATTGTGAAAAAATACGCTGGAGGAGATTGTGTAGTGGTCATCGCCACGCCATTGGCCATTGTTGACTGCGTAGGCTGAGGGGTCCTAGGACTCGGTATACATAGCGCAGACCTGACCTTGGGAATAGGAGTTTCTGTTGAGGATATAAGTGATATAGAATTTGCAAAGCCTAGGAGGCTTGGAGGGGTCATCTCCGAGGTGGTCGATGTTGTATTGCGAGGTAGCCTCGCAAATGGCCTCACAACGCTGGGGATCGAAGGGAGCGTTGTCGTTCACCAGCCTCATGCCCATGTAAGAGTCGTCGTTATTGCAGTCGATGGGGGCATTGATGGCCTTGTTTGAGAGCGGGTTGAGCGACGAAGTCAACACGTATCCGTTAGATGCGCTAGTCCAGTTGTCAGACGCAGACTCCTGAGCATGATGAATGAAGAAACTTACGTGATTACCACATGATATTGCTCACGCCATTGACCCTCGTTGCAAGCATTTTCGGGGGTGATGGGACCTCCCCAGAGAACACAAAAGGGATTGGCCGCACCCTCTGGATTGAAGTAAGCAGGACCAGGAACCTTGTTTGGACTGCGTTCAAAGTAGGTGTTGAAGCCTTGGCAGCCAATAGTGCGAGAGCATCTATCGGCATATTCCTGAACATTGTAGCTAGACATGATTGTATATCTGTTAAAAGTCAGCCAGGGACGCTATGCAAGACTGGTAAAAATAACCCCATGTATCCGTTGGCCTGAACACATGATTTCAGGTTCTGGTACGTCCTAGTATATCCATCAGGTGTACGAGCGTTCAAGGCTTGACTGGCCAGATTCCCATCTGCAAGGAAGCTCTCTGCCGGGTTGAGTAATGCAATTTAAGTATTTGCATTGTTGGTTAGATGCTGGCATGTCTCCCAATGCTTTTGGATGTCGCAGTAGCGCGCTTGGAGAGCGTTTGCTCTTGGGTCTGGAACCGGCTACTGCAAGGCCTCAGCAACATCTGAAGCAATTGCAGGGTCCTGATTGTATGTGACAACTTGTGCCCTCTGATTAGGAATAATGGTGTAGGTTGGGTCGGGAACGGACTCAACATAATCGAGGTCAATCAGCTGAGAAGAGGCCAGACTGATCAGCCCGCCGAGGGTAGTCGTGGTAAGACCGCGCATTTTGAGTTGGCCGGGACTGTTGCAACTGAAGCAGAGAAAAGAAGCTGCTGCCGTGACGATTGAGAAGCAGTATATCGAGCCTCTTATAGCCTCTTGTTGTGCCACTTGAATCGAGCTAGAGACCTTTGGGCTTCGTGTTCAGCTGAATACAATGCTTGTTTAGATACTCATCCGATAATTTCTTTAACAGCCGTAGTAGCAGCCACATCGCTTCGAGAGTCTCCCTACCAAAGATTGGTGACGGCTCAATGTTGTGGAGCTGGCGTTCTGCTTAGCTGTGATTTCCACCAGGCCGTCCTTTGTGCAGCCGAGTAAGCTCATGAAGGCTGTGAAGCATCCTAGGATGAAGCCCTGTCATTGTAGAGTCAGTCAGCCGCATCTTGGTGGCGAGTTGGCGTCTAAGCTACGCAGTTGGCTTCCAAGAAGTAGATTGAGGGCAATCTGCCCATGGTGTATGAAATGAATCACACGACCGACAGATTGCTTTTGTAATGACTAAGAATCTAACCTTTCATTCCTTCTCGTGTTCCAAGAATGCTTCTGAATTGCTTGACCCACAGTTGATCTGCTGCATTGAACAAGTTCTGGCAGTAACATGCAGTAAGCGAGTAACCTTTCACACCACTCTTGGAATACAATTTCGGCTCTGCTTGGCTGCTTGGCTGCTTGGTGAATGAGGAGCACCCCTGCGCTGGTAACTTGCCGTGTTTGTCGATGTGTCCAGGGGCATGACTGGTCAGCTAGTGGCCGTCAGGTGTGCCGCCCCGCTAGCTTTGGCTATGGAAACATACAACTCTTTCTTCAGAAACAGCTGGTAAACTAGTGCATTTTCATAGGCATTAGCTCCCCCGTAACCGAACTGGTGCGGTGAACCCCAGTCGCACGGACAACCTACCCAGTCGCTTTTCCACATTCTCTCGGCTGCGAGAGAGAATAGAGCTTCTAGGTCAGAGCTTGTCGCCCGACCCACGACCGAATCACTTTTGCGCCCGGCCCGTAGAAGACTATATCAAAAGCTAAAAAGTCACAAAATACTACTTGATTGCGATGGCGGTGGTGTAACTATGTTGAAGGAGCTAAAGGTTGCATACAGTTGTGATGCCGGAACTAGCAACGCCTTAGCAAAATACTGAAGGAGATTTCTAAAATGTCGCGATACTTTGCTAAGGCAAAGTAAACCTCATGCGTACTCTAACGAAATAGTCCAGCGAGATTATCGAATGGTATTAGGTATTCGTAGTGCAGCATTTCAATAGAGTTGAGCTTGCAAGGTCACATATAGATCCTGCGCATGAGAGTGAGCTCGCGTCTTGAATGCCTATAGTGCTTTACAAGCCGTAGATTAAATACGGTGGGAATAATGTTTGCTACTGAAGATTGTGCTTGGATGATATTTTTCGACAGCTTCTGGCTGGATGGTTGGACTCAGCTCGGATGACCTTTTTAGGGGGGACTGTCACGTCGAAGAGGGTGTCGAAGCGAAGTTGGTCAGTTGCTGGAAATGGATCGACGGAGATGACGCGGATTTGAGAGCCACATGCGCTTCTGCTCCATATCTACTTGCCAATGCTGATCGTAGCTGACAAAGGGCGATGTCTACTAGATTAGCAGAAAAGCCCTTCGAAGGCGGCCATCTTCCATGCCAAGGAAAGCGGATATTTGTCAGAAGATAGTCAAGAAAATCCGTGGCGATTTCTCGGTGGAAAGCGGATGAGGAGTTTTGCGGGACAGACTGATATGTTCAGGGTGTAGTCTGTGGTGCAGAATCTAGAAAGATAGCTTTTCTTGCACGGAGAACGTGGTAAAAAGCGGTAACGACCTATCAAAAGGGAACAGAAGTTGTCGGAGCCAATTGGCAGCGCAAGGTGGTGGGCACTTGTCGCACATGTGCGTCGCCGAACACGTACATGAAACCCACTGGACGGAATCTCAGTAGACATGAGTATTTCTCTTGTAGGATCGTGACAATGGGATGGGTGGGCTCTGGTGTGGCCAGTGAGTATGACGCAGATGATGTGGCGCACGGCCACATATGGGAACAAGGGCTTACTAGCGTTCGTTGATCTGGGGCGGCCCGGAATAGTAGAGTCGCTGGTCGAGCTGCCTCTAGGCCTGGGATCGTCAACAACCCCTGCGCCGATCATATTGCTTTGGGTTGACCTCTTGTACGAAGTCGAACCGTTGCATCCGCCTGGCTTTGGAATAGAATTTGTGGATTTTGCATCGGCAGTTCACAGAGCTGCCACCAGGACGACCAAGTCCAGGAGCAGCTCCCCATGTCAAGCAGCACAGGAATCGCACGCGTATGTCTCTTCCCAAACGCAATGCGTGTTCTTGGTAGGAATGGTTCCGACCGGTGGTTCAAGGTTCCGCCAATTGCGCTACGTTTCGAGTGTCGGTACAAAGTTTCGCTTGTCCTATGAAACAATTGCACGTTTGGAAAGGGTGCACGGAGTTGATCTTGTCACCAAAAAGCACCCATTCTGGCGCTGCGTGGTCTGAAGTGACTTTGCAATCTTCGTCCAACATGGGCCAAGTGTGCTATGTTTGGTTACAAAAAGCCGTGTTAAGCACTTGATGGGCCAACCACCGTTTGTGGGTGGGTGCAACGCCGAAACGAGCGCCCATGGAAGCACGTCTCTTGTTGCTTGGCCTTATGCTCTTATACATGGGAACTGTATTATCCGGTCATGGTCTGGTAATTGGACGCCTTCTGTTTCCCCACCTCTCAAACTATCACCTTTTTGACTGCTTCTATGGAATGTCATGGCTGCCGTTGGTGGACACAATGATATGTTACTGGTGCTGGCACACCGTCATCATCTAGACATGGCAACGAATACGGCTGCCCGGATCAAACGACATCAAAGGACTACCACCAACAAGATGGAGAGCAAACGACGGCGGAACGCTAATCTGGGTAATGGTAATACAGATTCGGTTCTACGGAGGAACATACAATCTACACCATCGCCTCGCCTCACGGGCCCCTCATCGGTGATGGAAGTGGTACAAAAACGATCATTACATCCGCGACTGTCCTCGGCCGGCCAAGTAGATGCCACCTCGACCATTGATAGTGGCACCCTGCAGGGAGCTGGATTGGTAGATGCAGCAGCTCTCCCAGGTGTCAACCAAGCCGATCCTGGTACTTTGAGTAGACCTATGCCAGGAGTCAATCAAGCCGATCCTGGCCGTATGGATGGGCTGATGCCAGGCAAGAATCAACCACCGCCATCGATAGGTGATGCGGCGGCCGCTCAACTTCTCGAGGACATGCCGATTTCGGTATTGTGTACGACGCTTACAACATACACCACCTTGACAAAGACACGGACGGATCCAGCATTGACTACATCAGAATCCGGCATGGGTCCTGGGTTTTCTTGGCCCACTCCTGCCATTACAAGCATTTCGTCTGCGGCATCTTCAGCTACCGGCTTCCCCCTACTACCGTCGTTTAGCACGTTTATCCTCTTTTCACAGTCAGAAGATATTCGGGAGCAAATGACGGCATCTACAAAAAGTATCAACACACCACTAGCCGTAACCGCGTCTTCGGCATTGACTGCGGTCTCGGTACCGACGTTCCAGCCTACATCTTCGGTTGTCGCCAGCTCTGCAACAGGTGGATCGGGTAGAGGACTAACGCCGTTGTCAAGATCCTTGTTTGTTCTTTTTGGTGTATTGGGTAAGCGGCTTTTAGCGCAAAGTTTGTTGTCACTGGACGGATGGCGGCTGACGTACAACGACAGGGGCCATTACGATGCTCATTGCATTGGCAATATTCTTCATGGCGAGGAGGAACAAGAGGCGGCAACAACTCGCAGAGCGATACATTGAAGAAAACGCCTCGTTTGAGGAGAAAAAGGGCGGTGCGCTCGGGTACGGAAACACGACGCACATCTCGGCAGAACGAACAGACAACGGTCCGACGGTACTGACGGACAGTGAAAGAAACATTGTACGTCGCGCGGCTACCCAGGATGGACAACCAGAGGTAAGTCTGTTGCGTATTATGTGTTTGGATATCCTGTCGAAAAAGTAGACTAACAACATGTTCTTTTTCCCTTTAGGTCCATATCACAGCGCCTGGAGCGCGCCTACACGATGCGATTAATTTGTTTATTGCTAAATCTCGACGATTGACGTACAAAATATCTCCTTAGAAGATGGGCGACTCGAGAAGAAGGTCATGATAATAGTAAGCATTCATTATGAATAGGATGATGAACAATGTATAATCGGAAATACACTGTAAATAGCGTTAATGCAGCCTGTAAATACTAAACAGATATATACATACTTGCATGCATGCATGGGGTGTCGTGGCATACGTGGATACAAATAGTAGCATGAACATGTGTGGTGCAGCCTTCGAAACTACCACTTCGAGTAACTCATGTCAGGGCGAGGGAAGGAAATTCCGTTGAAAGCAGCACTAGTTGCCACTAAGCCAAGTTGTACTTTGGGTAAGACCGACTTGGAATAGATTCGACGACTAACGCGGCAATGTTTGTGCTAACAGAGGCTGAATGGTGGGTGCAGGGGCTAGGAGGGTGTCGGGATGTTTCTGGTTGCCGGGTGGTGTGGGGCGAGGACTGGGGGCGTCGCGGCTAAGTATGGGGAGTAAGCGGCTTGGCACGTGGTGTAGTGTGGTGCGATGGGGGCGTGGGGGGTCGGGTTGGGTTTGTGGACAGGATGTAATGGACAGGGACTTGTGCGATTGAGGCCAAAGGCGCAATGTGCCCTGGCTACATGGTGCTTGAGCCATGGTTCCCCCTTCTTCCGAGCAAACATATGTATGTAGTCGGCCCCAACAATTTGTCGAATGCTGCATGACCAGATTTTGTTGGAGTGGAACATGGTGTAGTGGACGCTTCCCTGCTTACTCCAAGAGTACGTAATTTCGGGAGCAAGCTCGTCTTCATCAACTTACCATGCTAGTGCTATATACGTGCAAATATACAATTTCCTCACCCGCCTCGACGTCGCCTGGC